GAAAATCACGAGAGAATTGTTAATACTTTTAGACGTTGATTTTTATGATCTTCTCAACATATAAAAAGCTTCGGATGACTTTCGGTCAATCAGACTTAATCACGTGCAAATGTGACAATGTTCCCATGTACTAGAATAAGTTTTCTACAAAATATTGTTAAGTTACTGTGAGAATGCACGGGAGAAAATATTATTGATTAATTAATTACAATGATACAATGAGCCCTATATATATACATGTCTTACTCCTAATACATATGGGATTAAGGTTATTTACTACTATTTAACTATCAAACTAACACTCTCCCTCAAGCTGGTGCATATAAATCATATGTACCGAGCTTGTTACATATATAACTAATACGAGGACCAGTGAGGGACTTGGTGAAAATATCAGCAAGCTGATCATTCGACTTCACAAATTTTGTAGCAATATCTCCCGAGAGTATCTTTTCTCTAACAAAGTGACAGTCAATCTCGATGTGTTTAGTTCTCTCACGGAACACTGGATTTGACGCAATATGAAGAGCAGTTTGATTATCACACACAAGTCCCATCTGACTAATCTCACCAAATTTTAACTCCTTGGGCAACTGTTTGATCCAAATTAGCTCACATGTGGCCATAGCCATTGCTCGATATTCTGCTTCTGCACTAGACCGAGCAACCACATTCTGTTTCTTGCTCTTCCAAGACACCAAATTTCCTCCTACTAAGACACAATATCCAGACGTAGAACGTCTATTAGAAGGTGACCCTGCCCAATCAGCATCTGAGTATCCAACGATCTGCTCATGGCCTCGATCTTCAAACAATAAGCCTTTGCCTGGAGCTGATTTTATATACCGAAGAATGCGGACAACTGTATCCCAATGACTATCACAGGGAGAATCCATAAACTGACTCACAAGGAAAGGAAATGTCAAGTCTAGTAACTGTGAGGTAATTTAATTTACCAACCAACCGCCTATATCTTGCAGGATCGCTAAGAGGCTCCCCCTGTCCTGACAGAAGTTTAGAATTCGGATTCATCGGAGTGTCAACAGGTCTACAACCTGTCATTCCTGTCTCCTCAAGAATATCTAAGGCATACTTCCGTTGTGAGATCACAATACCTGAGCTAGACTGAGCGACCTCAATACCCAGAAAATACTTTAATCTGCCTAGATCCTTATTCTGAAAGTGCTGAAAGAGATGTTGCTTCAACTTACTAATACCATCCTGATCATTGCCGGTAATAACAATATCGTCAACATAAACGACTAGAAAAATACAGAGATTTGAAGCAGAATGTCGATAAAAAACAGAGTGATCAGCTTCACTATGAGTCATGCCAAACTCCTTAATAACTGTGCTGTACTTACCAAACCAGGCTCGAGGAGACTGCTTTAGACCATAGAGGGACCGACGCAACCGACATACAAGGCCAGTAGACTCCCCCTGAGCAACAAAACCAGGTGGTTGCTCCATATAAACCTCATCCTCAAGGTCACCGTGAAAAAAAACATTCTTAATGTCCAACTGATAGAGAGGCCAATGGTGAACAACAACCATGGATAAAAAAAGGCGGACTGATGCAATTTTAGCCACGGGAGAGAAAGTATCACTGTAATCGAGTCCAAATATCTGAGTATATCCTTTGGCAACAAGATGAGCCTTAAGTCGATCAACCTGGCCATCTGGATCAACTTTGACTGCATACACCCAACGACAACCAACAGTCGATTTACTTGAAGGAAGAGGAACAAGCTCCCAAGTACCACTTGTATCTAAAGCAGACATCTCGTCAATCATAGCCTGTCGCCATTCGGGATGAGACAGTGCTTCACCTGTAGACTTAGGGATGGAAACAGAGGACAAAGATGACACAAATGCACCATAGGATGATGAGAGACGATGGTAACTTAAACCGATATAATGAGGATTAGGATTAAGTGTGGACCGTATACCTTTTCGTAGTGCAGTCGGTTGATTAAGAGGAGACAAATCCGCAGTATTAGTAGGGTCAGGTGCAGGACGTGAATTAGCTGGGCCTGATGCTGGGGGCGGACGACGATGATAAATCAGGAGTGGTGGAGCTGTAGAAGGTTGAACTGGACTAGGTGGTGGCACTGGAGCTATAGTTGGTGGAACTGGACTAGGTGGTGGCACTGGACTCGGTGGTGACACTAGAGCAATAGGTGGTGGAGCTGTAACTGGAACTGTACGCGGTGGAGCTATGGAGGAAGATGAATGGGAGATAGGGATTGAATCTCCAAAAGAAGGAACAGGTAGCACCTCAGAAATATCTAAGTGATTAACTGGGCCTGTGAAGTATGATTGGGTTTCAAAGAAGGTAACATCAACAGACATAAGAAATCGCTGAAGGTCAGGAGAATAACATCGATATCCCTTTTGCGTTCTCGAGTAACCCAGAAATATGCACTTAAGAGCACGAGGAACTAGCTTATCTTTTCCTGGAGTAAGGTCATGAACAAAGCACGTACTCCCAAAGACACGGGGTGGAAGAGAGAACAAAAGTAAGTGGGGAAACAGGACAAAGAATCGAACTTGATTTTGGATAGCTGAAGATGGCATACGATTAATAAGATAACAAGATGTAAGAACTGCATCCCCCAAAAACGCAGCGGAACATGAGATTGTATGAGTAGGGTACGAGCAGTTTCAATAAGATGTCTATTCTTTCTTTCAGCAACCCCATTTTGTTGGGATGTGTACGGACAAGATGTTTGATGAATAATCCCATGGTAGTTCATAAACTGCTGAAATGGGAAAGACAAATACTCTAGGGCATTATCACTACGAAATATGCGGATAGAAACCCCAAATTGATTTTGAATTTCAGCGTGGAAGGTCTGGAAAATAGAAAACAACTCAGATCGATTTTTCATCAAAAATATCCAAGTGCACCTGGAATAATCATCAATGAAACTGACAAAGTAGCGGAATCCTAAGGTAGAACTAACCCGACTAGGACCCCAAACATCTGAATGGACTAAAGTAAAAGGTGACTCTGCTCGATTGTCAAGACGCCGCGGGAAATGGGAGCGGGTATGCTTACCGAGCTGACACGACTCACACTCTAGAGTGGACAAGTGAGATAAGCCAGGTACCATTTTCTGAAGTTTTGACAAACTGGGATGTCCTAACCGTTTATGTAATAAATCTGGTGAATCAGTAACGGGACAAGTTATTGGAGGAAGACAAGATGCGAGTCCATGTGATTTTGCAAGGATAAGGTAATAAAGTCCATCTAATTCACGTCCGGTACCAATGATCCGCCCTGTACTGCGTTCCTGTATAAAAACAAGGTCATCAAGAAATAAAATAGCAGATTTAAGTGATTTGGCTAAGCGACTAACGGTTATGAGATTAAAAGGACTACCAGGAACATAAAGAACTGAGTCTAAAGGTAAGGAAGGAAGTGGACTTGCTTGACCTATTGCAGTTGCCATGGCTTGAGACCCATTGGCCATTGTGACTGTTGGAAAAGATTGAGAATATGAGATACTAGTGAAAAGAGATTTGTTACCAGAAATATGATCAGATGCAACTGAATCAATTACCCAAGACTCGGAAGGTGAAGATTGGGAGACACCAGTCATGCTACTATTTGTTGGAACAACGGAGGTTAATCCCGAAGATGTCTGTTTATGTGCTTTGTACTAAAGGAACTCAATATAATCCGGTAAAGAAACCATATGGATTGGATTTATTGCATTTAATCCAATGGATTGTGAGTTAAAGGCTTCAGATACGAAGTCCATTATAATATCGTGCCGGAAAAAGCAGAAAATTGCTGGGGATCACTGTTCACGCCGGAAAAATCACTGTAGCTCGCCGGAAAATTCCAAAGTTGTCGGAATCTGTCGAAAATAGTATCAATGGACTCGGAATTGCAAGGAGATGAAGCTGTCCTGAAGAAATTTTTTCAAAATCTGACCGGAAGGGGTCACACGAGCCGGCGTGTATGACAGATGCGCCGCCGGAAACAGTTCTCCGACAGGCGCGTGACAGCGTGTGGCTAACTATTTTCCGGTGATTTTTTTTGGGGTTTGGTCGGATCTCTCTTGGGAACCTTGTGGTGGTGTTGGATTTTGCACAACACTGATAATTAGTGACTTTGACGCAATTAGTCACTTAGGTCACCGGAAAATTGCACGGTGACTGAGTTTTTTCTTCCCGGATATCGCTGGAATGACGCACAACGATCTCTTCTCACCGATGCTCTGATACCATGTGAGAAAGCACGGGAAAAAATATATTATTGATTAAAAATGACAATGATACAATGAGCCCTATATACACAATACATGTCCTACACCTAATACATATGGGATTAGGGTTATTTACTACTATTTATACAATGAAACTAACATTAGTAATATTCTTATATTTTCTTATTCCTAGATCTTTGTTATTACATGTTGTGTCATTCTTACCAGTAATATTAGTACTATTCTTGTATTTCTTATTTCTAGATCTTTGTTATTACACGTCGTGTCTTTATTTTTATTATTGGTTGCTTCCTTTTCATTGTTCCTTGAGCCGAGAGTCTGTCGAAGCAGTCTATCTACCTTCACAAGGTAGGGTAAGATCTGCGTACACATTATCCTCCCCAGACCCCACTTATGGGATTACATTAGTTCTTTTTTGGTTGTTGTTGTAGTTGTATATAGATTGTGTACGATATTACGCCTTGGTATGTGTCAAACTAGGTAAGGTGAGAGTCCATGAACCATAGGGTTTTACCCTGGCTTGTGATGTCTAATATGATTATCTTGCTACTGATGGAAAGCCTTCCAGCGACATGTGAAATTGAAAAAACCAGTTGGATTACTTCCTATGATGCATATGGCCAAGAACTCCATGTTTGCTTGAAATGATATTTTTCTTTTTGCTTCAGCATGTTGCTCTTTGCAGGTTCCAAAGAATGTTTGAACTTCGTATTCTTCATTTAATTGTTTGATCACAAACAGCTATTGATGTTCATTTTCTAGGTTCATGATTTTGGCTTCTTTCGCTATGACCCTGGTGCAATACAATTCTTGAGCTATGAAGAGATTCCTCTTGCTCCTGATGCTGCCGCTGTGGGTGTAGAAATCAGGGTTGTTGGTAATGACAGCGGCGAGAAGGTATGGTCTTGGATTGGACATCTTTACTTAATTATCCTATTTAGTTGATCATATTCTGTCAGTTTATGCTAATTGTTTCCTTTAATTCAAAAGGGTAGCAAATTGCAAATCAAATCTTTATAGCAATTCCAAGAGTCTGTAAAAGAGTTTCCTTGCACGCGCACTCATACATGTATACATAAATGTCAAGTAAACTTTTAGCGGAGGCACAATATCACTCAAGACTTTCTGTTGGATAAGGGCATCACAGCTGTCCAACATTCACACATACACATACATATATATACATCATAAATGTCAAGTAAATAGTGGAGGCCTGATATAATTCAAAACAATTCTAGTCGTGGTTACTTTAACTTCTTAATGTATATTCTGCCATAAGATGTTTCTAATGTTTGTGTGCCTAGTCATTCTTTGACTCAAGTTTTATGTTGTTAACTTATCAAAAAAGTTGTATGTTGTTCACCTTTTTAACTTATATGTTGTGGAAACCCGGAAACCTTGTTATTCGTTGACATTAAATATGATGCTGGCAATTTTCTTTTTGACTTTTCTTTAAATTGCTTTTTGGTGCTTGTCATTGAGTCAAAAGGAATGGTGTTGTTGGGATTGTCCAATCCCAACTCGAATTATAAAACTATGGTCAGACTTGGGCATACAAATTAGTTTCCATGTTTACAGGCATGGTTAGGCTTCTCCTACTTTTCAAGTAAATAGTTTTTGTTGATTGAACTAAAGAAGTTGCATTGAGAGATGCTTCAGTTTTTATTTTTGTTAATATCCAATTTATCAGCGTCTATTCCCAGAACTATAAGGAGAATGCTAGGACATGCAATTCATTCACTATGCTTCACGCAACATGTCTATTCTATTGATGTAGCGCATAATGCGTTAATGCATTTAATTCTAGATGATAAAAGAGATCTTCTGTCATCGTGATCAAATCACTGAAGACAAGATGAAATATTCCCCTAACTTTCATGACTGTTGGTCTCGACTAACCATGACTGAATATCCCCATCCTGCATGTGAGTAGAGGTGAACATGCATGGGATACTTCTTGAATACAAACTTAGGGTGGATTTTAGATCCTTTGCTTTCTATTCTTCTAGAGTGGTTTTAAGGCCTCACATAATCATTTGAAGAGTTGTGTTCTTAAGGGTTAAGAATTCTGTTGCCTCACAAACACCATTAAAGAGAATAGATGATTTTTTCCAATTATTAAAAGAGGTGCTCTTTGTATTTACTTGGTCAGTCATCAGTGGTTGCTTCAAGGCCTTTCCACCCTTTTTGTGAGCATAAGGTGGTTCTGCGTGCACTGGGAATGTTCAATTTGAATTATTTGCTTATTAAAGTCAATCGGTGGAATTGTATTTAATAGGTCTTTGAATTGCCATGTGAATACAACTGAAGTATCCCTTGCTATTGTTATTGTTATTGTTTGAATTGCCATGTGAATATTATTGAGGTATCCTTTTCTATTGTTATGTTACTGATGAATTACTGTTATTTTTGCTTCTAATCATATCTGATATATTCATGGGGCTGAAATAATGTCTTAGCCTACAACTTGTCTAGTGAAGTTGCTATCTCAAATTAGTTGTGTTACATGACTTTTATTGTTATGTTCTATCAACCCTTCCCTTGCATCCTCTTCAATTTTCTAGTGATATTTGCGTTAGAATTTCTAGATTCTTATTCTTTTTGGCTTTATTCTGAATTATTCAGGTGTCTATTTTGGCCGGTACCCTTGCTCGATTAGATAGAGATGCNTGTGACTAAATGATAGTGGAGCCTGCAAGAAGATTACCAGTGTTTAACAGTCTTTTGAAATGCCTTTGCTTTGTAATTGTGGAACCAAAAGATGTATAAAACCTGCTTTATGTGCTTTGTGGTGTGTCTCAATAGCAATGTAGGATCTTCTGCATCTGAATGGACTTTGCAATGTGCTACCCATCAGCTGTAGACTTCTGTTAACTTTAGTCTTTCCATCCCCTGAAATATTCTTGGTTCTAAATCTGTCCCATGGATTTAATGCCTGCCTCATATCAGTTTAATGATTTTTTTTTAAAATGGAAGCATCTAATTAACAGGGTATTTTTGGTAAGTGTGCCTACCACTGTCTCTCTTCTGGTACTACATCCATGGAAGTCGATTTGGAAGTGTAATCCTTCCCGTAACTAGCTTGTTCTGGAGGAGTGCAAGTAGATTGTCTGTAGGATTGAATCTTATGGTGCTTGTCTTACCTAGTCAAATTTACAAGAAATGAGCTTCAGCATATGTTTATTGTGCTAGAGAGAAACAGAATTGGTGAATCATCTTTTGCTAAACTGCCGGGTGACTAGGTAGATCTGAGTGATGTTCTTGTACGTAGTTCGAAAGAACTGGATGATGCCAAGTCAGTGAAGGAGCTGGTGGTGGTGTTGGAATGGATAAGCTGGATAAAGAGATGAAGAAATTATTGTCTACCCATCCCACTCTGTGTATTTTAGGTGATTTGGTTGGAGAGGAACCAAAGATGTTTCTAACAGAAAGCTGAACCTGTCCATAAGCTTAAGTATAAATGTTTGTATCTTTTGGCCTTTTGATGTAAATTGCTAAATTTATGACACAGATGGTCTTTTAGATTTTTTCAGCTTCATGAGATTATAAAGGGGCTGAGTTTTTGTTGTTCGTATATGCATCTACTTGGTGCTTTTTCTCATTAATAATATTGTCTTATCGAAAAAATTCTTTGCTAGTGCATGCCAAGGACTTTAAAGTTTTTCCAGTATAATGAGTAGGCTGAGGCGTTTGGATGGAGAAGTCCCGTTTAACTTAACCAGCTGAACTACTAACTTGTCCGCTGCATACACTAGATGTACCTGGTTTCCCTGTAATTATGAAGAATCTTTTTGTTTTTTCCTAAATGAAGTTCTGCAGTTCTTCTCTATTGGGGAATAATTTTGCAAGTTTTGGGGCCGCTATGTATGCATTTTGGTAACATCTCCAGTTTTGGTGCAGAGATGGCTACAATGACTTCAACACGTTCTACATGCAAGTAAGCATAATGATGTTACGCTTTTGTTATTTGGCAGTAGCACTGGTGGATTTTGACTAGATATGAATTTAGTAGATAATACTACCTCTGGTCCTTTTTAAATGTCGTTTTAGCCAAACAAATTTGGTCCATAATAAGTGTCACTTTTGGAAACCAAGAAGGCGTCAATTATTTTTTTTCCAAATCTATGCTTGCTCCAATTAATAGGTTTATACATTTTTCTAAAAAAGTCTTTCAACAGTTATTTCTCATTTTGAGGAGATATAAGGGTAATATAGTCAAATAACTCCTATAATTATTGCTATTAAATGGTTTTTAATCAGTGTACCAAAACTTTAAATAAAATTCAAAAGGGACCGGAGGGAGTTTGTGTTTAGAAACAAAAAGGGAGATGATCACTTTGCTTTTTCAATTTTGAAGAAAGAACACTACCAGAGATAATTTTAACTCTTTGAGCACTTCTGGCATGCATCTAGTGGTAAAAGACGGAGAAGATGAATATATGCTAATGAGAGCTATTACTGCTCTGCTGTGTTTTATTGTGCTGCTCCCTCAATTAGCTTATGACTTCCAAGTTTGTGTCCTTGCTCTTGGTTTAGTAGATAGGACTGTTTTTATCAATATGGTTCTTTCATAAGTGCTAAGAAATGTCGTGAATGAGTCAAAGGAATTTTTGTTTCAACTTGATACTCTTTTATGTACTCCAATTCTGGGGTTTTAGCTTATGATTTTTGTCCTTATAGTAGTAGCTTGATATGTTTTTCTCCGCTACTTCCAATGACTACTTTTGTTGTTCAACTTTTGTGTTCTTTTCTTCCAGGCTGCTTCGGGGACTAAGGGTGGTTCAAGTGGCTCGCCTGTAATTGATTGGCAAGGACGAGCTGTTGCCTTGAACGCTGGGAGCAAGTTATCAAGTGCATCTGCTTTTTTCTTGCCTTTAGAACGAGTTAGTACATGTTCTGTTGTCCTATATGTTAAAGAGCTTTATTATGTTATTCTCTTTTGTAATTGTTGCAATTATTGTTGTCTTTCATTTGAAGCTCTAAAAATCTTAAATTTTACTGAAGCATAAAGTTGACTCTGAGAAAAATTTCGTGAACAGAGTGATATGAAGTGTCAGCCCAAATCATGCTTCCCTAACAAAACTGTTATCCTGAGAGATATTAAAACCTTGAGTGGGCAAAGAGAAAAGAACTTTATCCTTCTCTGCAATTGGCTGTTTGCACCTTGTTTTTATGCTGCTTGCTATTCCGAGTTTTCTTGTTCTTTATATATATATCATTATTGGGGGAACTGGGAGTTGATCAGTTTCTTTGTTTCATTTCTGATTTTGATACCTCCTTTCAGAATGGTGATGAGTCAGTATCTTCATCACTTGACTCATGGTTTTATGTTCTGTATGTTATAAAGGAATCAAATTCTTTTACTCCTGAAATACCTCTCTAGTCTAAATTTTTCTATATTTCTGTGCTTCCTCTGTATTGTTCGTGCATTATCCTTAAAAAATAGTTTGGTAAATGAGGGAGATTTGAAGTCTGAAGTTTCTTCATGCAATTTTCTGTTTCACTTATTTCTTTTTCATTATTAAATAAGGTCTATCCCATATTCCAACTACTACCAGATAACAGTTTTTTTGGTTGCCTTTGAGTAATTGCTTCTGCTGAGAGTCAAGGTTTTTTTTCCCTTAGGAAAACGGGACAATAAATTGGTTAGGAGTTCACACTGAATTTATATGTTGCATTCCGAACTCTCAAACTGTACTTATGAGTCATGTAGGTGTCATTTTAGTGGCATCACATTTTCTGTTTCTTGTTTCTATCCGCTTCTAGCCACATTCGTTTTCAGGCTCATCTTTCCTGTTATTTAGTAAATCAAGCAACAGTTGACCCCCTTTTTCTTGTGTGTGTTCTAGGTTGTCAGGTCACTCAAATTCTTACAGGAAGGAGGATATTTTTCTACAGATAAATGGGCAGCTGTCACTATTCCTCGTGGTACGCTTCAGGTTTGTTAGTTATTTTCTTGCTGCAACTTATTTTTCCCCTATGAATGCCTGAAAAGGACTTGGATATCTTTTAGGGGATTTTTTTGGATAAAGTAATTATTTCATTTATGCTGTCGGAAGCCTAAGTATACAAGTGATATCCGAAAGCTAGAGTACCTTCAAAAAGAAAAATAATTTGGTTCGCTATAAATGACGCCAAATCATCTACACTAATAGGGATATTTTTGGGTGCATAAAAGATTCATCAAAGGCAAAATGAAAGCATCAAACATATAGAATTCAATTTCCATCCTTTGAAATGCTCTCCCATCCCTCATTGCCCTCATCAACAAATGCCCTCCTATCCCTCTCTCCAAAGTACCCACATAAGGGCCAAAAGAAAATAATGTCCCATGTCCGGCATCTTCTCCTCCTCCTAAACTAGCTGTGCGTCACGTCCTTTACAGTAGTCGGTATTGATCACTGAACTCCAAACATATTTAGCACCATTCACTACAATTGGCTTGCTACCTGGTAATGCAGCAATACGTAATTCTTATATCGGTGTCCCCCTAGAGTTTTGATGCACCGACAATGGTAGTACAATGCGGGATGTGGTTGGTGGTATGTCACGAGTTCAAAACCTAGCTGTTGAACCAAGTCTAGTTTTTAAGTAGAGAAAGATAGAGGAGCAGAACCATTATCCCCAAGTTTTGAAGATGAAACAATGATTTTTTAGTCCTGAAAAAGTGACTCATCTCTTCATCCAACTGTTTGCACGCAATTAGTTAGCTTCTTTAATTTTTCAACTGTTAGAAGTCGCACCCTGTTCTGCCAGCCACGGGAACAAGCATACCTTTCTTGGCACTCTGGAAATCCAGAATGAACTGTGTGGCAAGCCTGCGCCCTATATTCAAAGTAATCTATAGTAGTAGATTTTTACTGGAAATAATCCCCTTCCTCTTCTGTTCCATCTCATAGTTCCTTCTCCAAACGTGTGCTGTTTTGCTTGTACACTAACTCCATCAGGTTCTGGAATATATCTATCTCCCAATCTTGTAAATTCCTCCTACATGTAAGGTCTGAATGAGACCCCTCTAAGCTGTAAACATGATGAATTGTCATGTCATTCCGATGCGATATGCTGTAAATAGCTGGGAAAGCTACTAAAAATATAATGTTGCTGCACCACCTTTGTTTCCAACACTATACCTTTTAAGGGGATTATCTTGTTTTATTTAGTCATTTTATTTCATCCTCAAATGATAGCCCGTACAATTGCTGACTTTATCATATTTGGTTCTATTACTTAAAAACTTTTTAGCACTAGTCGTTCGTATTTGTTTCGTATCACTCTTTGGGAATTACTTAACATTAAAATTTGGTTATTTGTTCTGGTATCCTGCTTCCTTTTACTGGATCTGACATATGCCAGATAGACTGTAAAACACATTATCTATAATCTTTAAACTGGACCTTTTAAATTTTTAGAGCACAACGTACAACAACAACATACCCAGTAAAATCCCACTAGTGGGGTCTGGGGAGGTAGGATGTACGCATACCTTACCCCTACCCCGGAAGGGTAGAGAGGCTGTTTCCGGGAGACTCTCGGCTCAACAAAAGAGATAATAATATCAGAAAAGAAATGCAAGAAGAGATCTGTAACAACAAAAGAAGCAAGAAAAGTAATAATGTGGAAAGAGTAAGAAACTTGAATAATTTCATTCATATTTTTGAATGTCATATACATGGCTTTATATACAAGAAGAGGTTAGAAACAAAATCCCATAAAATCTAACAAAATCCCATAAAATTTGGGATTATACAAAATAAAATAAAACAAAGAATCAAAATTCGATAAGGAAAGATCTTAGAGAATCAAAACTTGATATGGACAAATCTTAGAGGATCAAATCTTGATATGGAGAATATCTTCTTGGAAATCCTCTATCATTCAACACTCCCCCTCAAGCTGGTGAATGGATATCTTCCATTCCTAGCTTGCTTATCAGGTCTTGAAACACATTGTTTGACAGTCCTTTTGTTAAAACATCAGCCAACTGATCTTTTGTAGATACAAATGGTGTACAGATGAGTCCGCTATCTAATTTCTCTTTAATGAAGTGTCTATCTACCTCAATATGCTTAGTGCGATCATGCTGTACAGGATTATGAGCTATACTTATTGCTGATTTATTGTCACAATATAGTCTCATAGGTCCTTCCCATGTTATCTTCAAATCATCAAGGATTATCTTTAACCATAACAACTCACAAACTCCCGTCGCCATAGATCTGAACTCGGATTCTGCACTTGATCTGGCCACCACATCCTGTTTTTTACTTCTCCAAGTCACAAGATTTCCTCCTAAAAAGGTACAGTATCCAGAAGTTGACCTTCGATCCACTAATGAACCAGCATAATCCGCATCAGTATAAGCCTCTAAAACCATGTCTCCTCCTCTTCTGAATAGTATTCCTTTTCCGGGGCTTCCTTTAAGATATTGTAGAATCCTGTTCGCCGCTTGGAGATGCATTTCTCTAGGGTCATGCATAAATTGGCTAACGACACTTAGAGCAAAAGCAATGTCTGGCCTTGTATGGGACAAGTAGATCAATTTCCCCACAAGCCTTTGATACGAGCCTTTATCTACCACAGAATCTTCTGGAGAATTACACAACCCATGATTATATTCAATTGGTGTGGCCACTGGTTTACACCCTAATTTTCCTGTTTCTTTTAACAAATCAAGCACATATTTTTGTTGGGAAATAAAGATTCCTTGTTTAGAATGTGCTACTTCAATTCCCAAAAAATACTTTAATTTTCCAAGATCTTTGATATCAAATTCCTTGAATAAACAATTCTTCAAATTGTGTATCTCCTCTAAATCATCACCTGTTGCTATGATATCATCTACATAGACTAGTAGAGCAATTACCTTTCCTGTTTTTGAGTGCCTTATGAACAAGGTGTGGTCTCCTTGACTCTGCCGATAGCCTAGCTTGATCATAACCTTTGTAAATCTTCCAAACCATGCACGGGGTGATTGCTTTAGTCCATAGAGTGCCTTCTTCAGTCTACATACCATTCCCTTCTTGCTTTCAAAACCAGGTGGTACCTCCATATAGATCTCCTCATCTAAATCTCCATGTAGAAAAGCATTTTTAACATCAAATTGTTGTAGGTTCCAATTAAAAATCGCAGCCAATGACAATAAGATCCTCACTGTATTCATTTTTGCCACTGGGGCAAAAGTTTCCAAATAATCAATTCCATAGGTCTGTGTGTAACCCTTTGCTACCAAACGTGCTTTAAATCTTTCTATAGACCCATCAGACTTGTATTTCACGGTAAATACCCATCTACACCCTACCAGCTTTTTCCCTTTTGGTAATTCCACCATTTCCCAAGTTTTATTCTTCTGCAATGCTTCCATTTCTACCTTCATAGCTTCTTCCCACTCTTTGTTGCCTAATGCTTCAGACAAATTTTTGGAACAGGAATTGTGTGGAGGTTACTGAGAAAAGCTTTATGGCTTGGGTATAGGTTTTGATATGTCAAGGAAAGGCACAAAGGGTGTTGTGTGCAGGTTCTGGTTCCTTTTCTAAGTGGAATGGGAAGGTCAAGATCATTTGGTTGGTTATGATCTTCATGATCAGTTTGGTTTGGTGTTTCTGATGGTTCAACAGGTTCAGGATAGGTATTAGGAGCAGGGACATGAGGAGATAATTGTGGTTGAGTAGTTTGATCAGTTAGCCTTTTTCTTCTGGAATAAACCTACAATGGTGGATTACTTTCTTGAATTCCTTTATGTATATCAAGATTAGAAGACTCAATAGGTTCATTAGGATTTAGAGACTCAGATGAGTTAAGAGATGGTGACTCAGGCAAGGACATACATAAGGATTTGTCATGGCTAGGAATAGACAAATCAAATAGTGATAAGCTAGAGATCCTTCTCCACCCAATGACTCCCCCTGAATGTAAGAATTTTTAAAAAATGACTCACTTTCATCAAATGTGACATCNGTTATTTTCTTATAGCTAGGGCAAGGTGAATATGATATAAAGAGATGGGAGGAACAAGTCATATGATCAGTTGCCCCGGAATCAACCACCCACATTGGAGAAAATTTGTCTCTAACATTAGCAACAAAAGTGGAAGAAATACCTGCAAAGGCCATTGAACAACTACCTGCCGAAAATGATATCTCCAGAGATTCCAGCAATGTCTTCAATTTCTCAATATCTTCTTTGTTGAATTTTGGGACTAGTGGACTTTTTTTATTAACCTGAGGGCTGCTAGCAATGTGTGCCTGCGTTTTATCAAAAGTATTTTTGGTTGGAGGTTTACCATTGAGTTTCCAACATCTCTCTCTCGTGTGCCGGTACTTTTTGCAGTAAGTGCAGTAAAGATTGTCCCTGTTGACAATCGGTTTGAATGAACTTGCATGCTTGATGGTGCTCTCCAATTGTGAAACTCCAGATTCCTTTTTATTTGTCCCTTTTGTCATAAGAGCTGATCCTTCATTTATTTGAGTTTCAAGCATAACACTCCTCCGTCCTTCCTCTGTCCGTATAATGGCCATTGTCTCATTCAATGATGGCAGATCTTCTTTTCCTAAAATTTGCACTCGTACAGCATCAAACTCTGCATTTAGCCCTGCAAGAAAATCATAAATCCTTTCTTTTTTAATAAATCTTTTCAAAATTACAGCATCGTCTGTGCAACGCATTTGAATGCGTTGATAGTGATCCATCTCTTGCCATAACCCCTATAAAAGGTTAGAATATTCAGTGACAGATCGAGCTCCCTTTTTGTTGCAGATAATTTTGTTTTTATTTCATAGATCCTAGCAGCATCATGAACTTTAGAGTATGTCTCCTTCACTGCATCCCAAATTTCCTTAGCAGTATTCAGAAATATAACAGTATCACTAATTTCTGGAAGCATGGAGTTCCATAACCATGACATCACCATTGAATCACGTTCATCCCACGCATCAAACTTGGGGTCTTCTTTGGATGGTCATGTACCGAGGAGATATCCTAATTTCCCTTTACCTTTTAGAAAGGTACGAACAAGCTGAGACCATTTTAGATAATTTTTCCCATTCAACCGATAAGAGGCTTGAATATTTTGTAAATCTCCAGTTGAAACTGTAGAGCTATGCTCTACAGTGGCAGAAACATTTTCAGAGACTGGATTATTCGCAATAGTACTCTCTTCGGACATGGTTTTCAAATGGTTTCAACCCTTGGGCGGAATAAAGAGGACAAATGTGATGAAAAGATGGATGAATGAAAAAAATCTGTCAGTAATAAGTCTAAGGCTCTGATACCATGTGGAAAGAGTAAGAAACTTGAATAATTTCATTCATATTTTTGAATATCATATACATGGCTTTATATACATGAAGAGGTTAGAAACAAAATCCCATAAAGTCTAACAAAATCCCATAAAATCTGGGATTATACAAAATAAAATAAAACAAAGAATCAAAATTTGATATGGAAAGATCTTAGAGAATCAAAACTTGATATGGACAAATCTTAGAGGATCAAATCTTGATATGGAGAATATCTTCTTGGAAATCCTCTATCATTCAACAAATAATAACATCTTAAAATACACCAAATAAGTGAAAGGGAGTGCAGTAATACAATCCTATGCAAAACAACAAAATAGTGTGAACACAACATAGACCGCTACCAAACATAGGCAAAGCTCTATCAGACTACCCGGTACAAAGAGGGAAAAACTATGCACTACTTTCTAGCCTACAACCCTAATGCTCGACCTCCACATGTTCCTATCAAGAGCCATGTCCTCGGAAATCTGAAGACGTGCCATGTCTTGCCTGATCACCTCGCCCCAATTCTTCTTAGGCCGCCCTCTACCTCTTCTCGTACCTGCCAAAGCCAACCGCTCGCACCTCCTAACCGGGGAATCTATGGTTCTCCTCCGCACGTGTCCAAACCACCTAAGCCTCGCTTCTCGCATCTTGTCGTCCACGGGAGCAACGCCCACCTTCTCCCGAATATCTTCATTCCTTATCTTACAGTTTAGTATGCCCGCACATCCATCTCAACATCCTCATCTCGGCTACTTTCATCTTCTGGATATGTGAAAGTAGCCAAGATGAGGATGTTGAGATGGATGTGCGGGCATACTAAACTGTAAGATAAGGAATGAAGATATTCAGGAGAAGGTTGGCATTGCTCCCGTGGATGACAAGATGCGGGAAGCGAGGCACAACGTATTTTCTAATAAAGTGAGATCAGCTTACATTTTCTTGCTATGCTGTATTTAAGAGATTTGGAGCATTCTCATTCCAGTATTGTATGTTATTAATTGTTCATGTCCCTGGCTACTATGTGTCACAGTACTGCCTCTAAACCCTTCTGGTGAGGAAGAAGGATTTTTTTTTTTGAAAAATAATGGCTTCACGCGCTCAGAATTAGTGTGGCACACACCGTGCCATGTCAGCAAGACATGTCTAATAGGCACAATTGGGCTCGAGTTCAGATGTTAAATAGGAACAAGGCTTAGCTCATCTGTCTAAATGAAAAATGGGGCAAGTTTGAAGGGCCACTTATGTATTTGGCGATTTCTAATTTATTTTTAGAAATATTCATATTTTGATCTATTTTTAAATTTTAATTGTATTGTTAAGAATATTAAAATAGAACCGTGCATTTGGACTAACGCCACCCATGATAAGAAATATGACCTTCTTGCCTTTTAGAAGACTGGATCTACATTCACATTCGGAGCATATGGTAATGCTTCGGGTTGTTTTAACTTGTTTCTTCTCAAACAGGATGTAACGCCTTTGAGATGGTCGAATATGGATGGGAAATCATGCTATTCTATGATAGAATATTATCTGCATGTCTTTACTATTGAAGTATCCTTGCTGCTGTTTCTTTTTTGAGGGGTTATCAAATTTTTGTAGTTAGCATTTTTTATCTGTTAGTCTGCTATTGTTCATATGGACACAGTGTTTTTCTCCTTGCAAACTTTGATTTTACTTAGATGTTTTTCATATAGGTGACTTTTCTTCATAAAGGATTTGATGAGACACGCAGGCTTGGTCTTCAACATGAGACGGAACAGGTAGACATTTAAGATTTTGTTACCATACTGTAGATTACTAAAATAATGATTTGTCAATCTTTTGAAACTTGGCTGGAATAGTTGGTGCGCAATTCCACTCCACCCAGCGAAACTGGAATGCTTGTTGTCGATTCTGTGGTAAGTACACCATCCTAAGTGATAATGCCGTAAATGTATATGCCTCTGCTTATCAAGATTTATTCTCTCGCTGGGTTGATTGCAGGTTCCTGGTGGCCCAGCTCAAAATCATTTAGAGCCCGGTGATGTGCTTGTTCGCATGAATGGGGAGGTTAGTCTTTCTTTGATCTCCTATGGCATTTGAAATTTAATGGTTTTTATGCTCGTTCCAACATGTTTTCTAGATTATTTATAATTATACTATTTTCAGAAACCTAATTCTAGATTTATCTTCTTATACTCGGAACTGTACTCTATCATTTTCCCATATGGCTGCATCCCACCAAATTCTGCAGACCCACTTGAATTATCCCCAGCCAACCATTGAACTAGGTTGAATCAGAGACTTATTTGACAGAGTCATCCACTAGATTTATCCGTCCCCTCTACTCTATGGTGTGTTGCGAGGGACACTTTGTTATCCTATTTGATTGCTCTCAGATCTTACGTGAATACAAGAATAGTACTTTGTCAGAAATTGCTTGTCAGATGATTGGAAAAATTAATCATTTCATTGTTCATAGCATCAAACTGAGTCCTGGAAGCCTCATGCAGGTTGTTACCCAGTTCCTGAAGATGGAGACTTTACTTGATGACAGTGTCGAGCAGAAAATTGAGCTTCAAATTGAAAGGGGCAGCACTCCTTTGACAGTAGACTTGTTGGTAAATATTGTCGTTGCACGTCTTGGAATATCTCTACTCTTTATCTCTTTTCAAAGTTTTCTTCTTGGACTTTTAGATGAAAAAACGATTATCAATTCTCTTCATAAGGTTAACCTCGGCTTTGGGCCCTAGCTTGATTTTTCAACCCACTAGGTGCCAGCTTTCTTATGCAATGCTGGTTTTAAGGTTGATACAAGTTTTTCTAACTTAAAATACAACTTCAACAAAGCACCACATTTGATGGTGGCTCTCTAGTTCATTCAGTTTTTGGTACCTAGAGGAAAATTTGGTTGACATTACTCTGTTAAATCCTGGGAATTTATTTATTTTTTAGTTGCAAATATTTGGATATTTTTTTGACTGTAGTCCTTTTTGTTTTTCACTTCTGACTGGGTCCTTTCCATGTTTTGGAGGCTAGCAATGGGATGTGGTGATTGTCTACATCAGTAGTGCATGAACCAAAGGATCCCTAATTTATTGACTGTGTTTTTGTCAGCTGTTTAGTATTTATCATGGGTTTCCACTCAGGTGACTCAAAAATCAGTTGCAGAAAGTGGCCCTTTCAGAAATTCTAAGCCTCTTTATATGCTTCTAGTATTGTAGCCATTGATGCATGAATAGTATTTCATGCTCAAATTTGACGGTTTCTGTTTTGAAGTTGTACTATACATATGATTGTAATATGAGGCAGACCTTTATTTCCTGAACTCTCGATTATTGTTATACATTTCTTATGGGGCAATTGTTCAGTCACTTTTAGGGATGGGAATCTATGTCATTTGGTTCTTTTCAACAGATATCTCTTTTACCCTTTCAACATCCTAAAGTTGGATGAGTTTTACATGCATAAGTACAGCTCCATTGTTCCGTGGATTTGTAAGGGTGTACTTAGTTGACCTGATAGATGATGGTAGTGACACACAGCTGACTCTATTCCTTTGTCCACAAATTTCTAACTTAACCTATTTATCCAAAAAAAGAAGAATTTTCTAAGTTTAATAACTGTAGTTTCTTTAAAAAAAAGAAGGTAAAGGAATTGGTTTAAGAAAAGGGCTCTGAAACTACACTGACTTGCTTATAATGTTTTCTTCTTTTGCTTGTGTTTGTATCATCTGTGATTATGACTTCTTTTGTTTGGGCAACTTCAGGTTCAGGATTTGCACTCAATTACTCCTGACCACTTCTTGGAAGTTAGTGGTGCAGTGATACACCCACTTTCTTATCAACAGGTTTGTGATATTCTGTGCTGTTGGCTCCCCAGTCTTATGCATGTAAGAAACATCTTTACCAGTAGACTCCCGTTATATGAGTTTATCTGCATTCTACTGATTAGTCATCCCAATGACAGATGAATTCCAAGTCAGGGAATTGTTTTTGACTTGTTCACAGGCTTCTTCCGTGGAAGAAATCAGCAGTCTGTTCTGGTTAATGCAAGATATTCTCTAATCCTAAAACAATGCTACCTGCAAACTACTTTTATTTTGCTTGGTAAAACAAATTCACACTTATTAAGTATGAATGACAATAAAAACCGGCGTTAAGCACCTGAAAGTGTAATTTAGCTGTTGCATCCAGTCTATTTTCTAAATTTTCGTTTTGGTGCGTATTTGGAAACTATCAACCAGGGTAAGGAGTGATGTAGGCCCATTAGAAGTAATGCAAAGTTATTAAAGATTGAAGCTTTATTGTTTGGAATTGATTCCTATAGCTTTGTTTGACGTTATTGAGTTATATTCGACTAGATTCGAGTCATTTGGAGAAGAGTTTTCGCAAAATGAGGGATGCAACACGTGGACTTTAAGGGGGGTCACCCATCCTAATACCACTCTAACTGAAACACGATTCTGGAGTTCTGACTGGATATAATGCATTAGTGCTAGTATGTCGAATCCGTCATTAACCTTGAGTAGGTTCATTTGATGTTTTATGACTAGCTTGTGTGGTTGGTTTTGATTTCCGAGAGGTTCAGTGGTGTTTTAGAAGAGAAATTCTCGTTGTAGAAGCCTCAAGTTGTTGGAGTTGACCAAGGTTTTAACTTTTGGGTAAACGAACTCGGAATCGGGTTTTGATGAATAGTAGGATCAGATAATGTAATGTAGATTTTGGGAGTTAGCATACGAGATTCTCAGGAAGCTCACCTTATCTAGTTCAGTCTAATGTAATCAAAATAGAGCAACATAAGGTAGATTCAAGGAATAGTACCAAAAAGGCTGGGTTGGAAAGAGCACAACCTATCTTGGAAAGCATGATGACGGATGATGTTCAAACATAAGATTAGCAATTCGAGGTGCCATAAAGTTCGGACATAATAGAGACCACAAGATCCCAAGATGATAGATCCAATCCAACTCAGTTGTCAGTCGGAGACTCATTAGATGTGCATGATTTGGAGTTGCATACAAATTCTTAAGAGTATGCCAAAACTGGAAGGACATTTTGGTTGTGATGACAAATAGGCACAATCTCATCGGAAAGAGTGGAAATCAAAGTTGTGCAAAGGTGACTAACTTGACTCTTCCAAAAAATCGAATCTACTGAGAAGCAGGAGGTGTGTCGATATATTTTTCAAAATCATAGCCAACAAGAGCAGATACCCATTGGGTATGCCAGGAAAAATAGTTGGTGGACATCAACTTGATTGGGGTAAGAGAAGAATTATTGATAGAAAGAAGATCAGAAGAACCTTGAGTTGCAGAAATTATTGAGATACACGAAGGTGATTTATCTGATTGGAGTATTTCTTTAGGCATTATCGGATCCTCATGAGAGGAAGATTTCGATGTGCGTTGATGAACCATTGAGTTGAAATTTTTTTTATGCCGTATGGCTTCCCTGCTCTGATACAAGAAAGAATACGGAAGTTGTGTATTTTGTGCTCTCCAGCAAGTGAAAGCGCACTTGGGGACAAGTTTGTTATTATACTATGTGACAAACATAGTCTAATAACGTCACTTGTCCATCGTAGAGACTCTCAACCTCGTGTGTTAGTGTATATATCTCCTTTGAAGGTTATGGTGGAAGAATTGAGAAACTCACCCGGAAAGAGAAAACACCTTGAAGTAGCGAGAGTCCATTACTTAAATGGTCACTCAACTATTCCAAATTATCTAGTAAAGTCATGTCTTTCATTTGTAACATAAAAGTCGCTTAACTATGCTTATAGCACTCAGAAAGCCATTGTCAGTATGGGCCTCTATACCTACAAGGTGAATGCAGTGCCCCGACAAAAAAGAACGTGCGTACTGTGGAATAGTACTCGTATGATAAGGCAGACTGCATAACATACGATAAACAAGAAGCTCAACTTGCCCTTCTTCCCAAATATCATTGTTAGAATAGTTATGTCAATATATGTAATTAGCCCTAGTCCCTTATGTAATAGGAGTAGGTTATGTGTTATGTATACATATAAATAGGGCTCATTGTAACATAGAGTAACAATCAATAATATTTTACCCCGCGCTTTCTCACATGGTATCAGAGCATTGGTGAGATAATTATTGTTGTGCGTCATTCCAACGACATCCCGGGAAAATCAGTTGCACCGTGCAATTTTCCGGTGACTTAAGCAGCTGTTTACGTCAATTGAGTTTCAGTGAGGTTTGTGCAAATTCCAACACCACCACAAGGTTCTCCTATCATTGGCGACCAAACCCCAGTGAAGATCTCCGGCACAACACGCGCCGTTACGCGCCTCTGGCAGTTAAGGTTCTGGCGAGATTGTCACCACATGCGCCGGTGCGTGAGATCATTTTCCGGCATCTTTCAAGTATGATTTTTCTTTTGGGTTGGTCGCCTGACTTTTCCGACTCGACCCTTCGAGATTTTGTGGTTTCTCAGTTACCGAAAAGTGTTTCCGGCAAGAGGAATGGTTTTTCCGGCGAGAGCAGTGGTCTGTCACTGTTATGGTCACTTTTCCGGTCACCTTGTTCACATACTAAGGTTGCCTATTGATTTCGACCTCAGTCATTTAATTTCCACTATTTTGTTGACTTCAATTTGCTTCCGACGAAGATTTGAGAAGTCAGAGAAGTTGCATCTGTTAACTGAAGGTCTTCAACACAAAATTTTCAGCACTCTGAAGCTCAACTAACAATATCAGACCAACTTACTCTAGTTTGGTGATCAGAACAGTGTTCGATCATTATAATAGTTTGGTTTCAATTTCTAATTGCTTGATTTTAGGGTATCTCAGTTGGTAATCTTCATCAAATATTTGGCTTTGATCTCTCTTAAGTTCATTATAATGTCACTCAGATCTGATGCTTTTGGCTCAAATACTGTTGGATCCTATACTTCGAATGTTCATATGGTGTCTTTATCTATCGAGTTCCTTCAGTATAAAACACGTAAGTAGATACCTTTTGAGATAGATTTTGTAGCTCAAACAGGTAATAACGTGACTTGTATCTCTTAATCGTCTTCTTCCTCCGACTCTTGGGTCATTGATTCAGGTGCATCTGATTATATTTCTGGTAACAAATCTCTTTTCTCTAGTATTTCATATTCTCAATCTCTTCCAACAGTCACAATGACCAATGAGTCCCAAACCATGGCAACTGCAATAGGTCAAGCAAGTCCACTTCCTTCCTTACCTTTAGATTCAGTTCTTTATGTTCCCGGTAGTCCTTTTAATCTCATAGCCGTTAGTTGCTTAGCCAAATCACTTAAATCTGCTGTTTTATTTCTTGATGACCTTATTTTTATACAGGAACGCAGTAAGGGACGGATCATTGGTACCAGACATGAATCAAATGGACTTTATTACCTTATCCTTGCTAAATCACATGGACTCACATCTTGTCTTCCTTTAACAACTTGTCCTGTTACTGATTCACCGGATTTATTACATAAACGGTTGGGATATCCAAGTTTGTCAAAACTTCATAAAATGGTACCTGGTTTATCTCACTTGTCCACTCTAGAGTGTGAGTCATGTCAGCTCGGTAAGCATACTCGCTCCACCCTCAACGTCTTGATAATCGAGTGGAGTCACCTTTCACTTTAGTCCATTCAGATGTTTGGGGTCCTAGTTGGGTCAGTTCTACCTTGGAATTCCGCTACTTTGTCAGTTTCATTGATGATTATTCCAGGTGCACTTGGGTATTTCTGATGAAAAATCGATTTGAGTTGTTTTCTATTTTCTAGACCTTTCAAGCAGAAATCCAAAATCAATTTGGGGTTTCGATCCACACATTTCGCAGTGATATTGCCTAGAGTATTTATCTTCCACATTTCAGCAGTTTATGAACTCTCATGGAATCATTCATCAAACATCTTGTGCATACACATAACAAAATGGGGTAGCTGAGAGAAAGAATAGGCATCTCATTGAGACGGCTCATACACTTCTCATCAGGTCTCATATTCTGTTGCGTTTTTGGGGCGATGCAGTTCTCACAACTTGTTATTTGATTAATCAGATGCCTTCATCTCCCATCCAGAATCAAATTCCGCATTCAGTATCATTTTCCCAATCACCCTTATACACTCTTCCCCCTCGCGTTTTTGGGAGCACATGTTTTGTTCGTAACTTAGTCCCTGGAAAAGGTAAGTTAGCTCCTCGTGCTCTCAAGTGTGTCTTCCTTGGTTATTCTCGTGTTCAAAAAGGATATCGTTGTTACTCACTTGATCTTCGTAGGTACCTTATGTCAGCTGATGTCACATTTTTTGAGTCTAGACCTTACTTTACCTCTTTTGACCACCTTGATATTTCTGAGGTCTTACCTATACCGACTTTTGAGAAGTTTACTATAGCTCCTCCTATGCCCTCAGCCACGGAGGTCTTACCCATTCTAGCCGTTGAGGAGTCTAGTGTTGCTCCTCCTAGATCCCTAGCCACGAGAACACCACTCCCGACTTATCAACGTCGTCCGCGCCCAGCATCAGTTCCAGCTGATTCACGTCTTGCACTTGACCCTGCTCCTACTGCGAACTTGCTCCTCCTAGTCAACCCATTGCACTTCGAAAAGGTATAAGGACCACACTTAAATCCTAATCCCCATTAATGTCGGTTTAAGTTATCATTGTCTGTCATCACCCCATTATGCTTTTGTATTTTTTTTGTCCTCTATTTCCATCCCTAAGTCTACGGGTGAAGCATTGTCTCATCCAGGATGGCGACAGGCTATGATTGATGAGATGTATGTTTTACATACGAGTGGTACTTGGGAGCTTGTTCCTCTTCCTTTAACTACTGTTGGATGTCGTTAGGTTTATGCAGTCAAAGTTGGTCCGGATGGCCAGGTTGATAGACTTAAGGCCCGTCTTGTTGCCAAAGGATATACTCACATATTTGGGCTCAATTACAGTGATACTTTCTTGCCCGTGGCTAAAATAGCATCAGTCCGCCTTTTTCTATCCATGACTGCAGTTCGCCATTGGCCTCTCTATCAGCTGGACATTAAGAATGCTTTTCTTCACGGTGACCTTGAGGATGAAGTTTATATGGAGCAACCACCTGGTTTTGTTGCTCAGGGGGAGTCTAGTGGCCTTGTATGTCGTTTGCACCAGTCACTTTATGGTCTAAAGCAGTCTCCTCGAGCCTGATTTGGTAAGTTCAACACAGTTATCCAGGAGTTTTGCATGACCCGTAGTGAAGCTGATCACTCTGTGTTTTATTGGCATTCTGCTTCAAATCTCTGTATTTATCTAGTCGTTTATGTTGAATTACCAGCAATGATTAGGGTGGTATTACTAAGTTGAAGCAACAACTCTTTCAGCACATTCAGACTAAGGATCTGGGCAGAAGTATGCCTTAGACATTCTTGAGGAGATAGGAGTTGACACTCCGATGGATCCGAATTCTAAACTTCAACCAGGACAGGGGGAGCCGCTTAGCGATCCTGCAAGATATAGGCGGCTGGTTGGTAAATTAAATTACCTCACAGTGACTAGACCTGACATTTCCTTTCCAGTGAGTGTGGTAAGTCAGTTCCTAGATTCTCCCGGTGATAGTCATTGGGATGCAGTTGTTCGCATTCTTCGTATATAAAATCAGCTCCAGACAAAGGTTTATTGTTTGAGGATTGAGGCCATGAGCAGATCGTTGGATACTCAGATGCTGATTGGGCAGGATCACCTTCTGATAGACGTTCTACGTCTCGATATTGTGTCTTAGTAGGAGATAATTTGGTGTCTTGGAAGAGAAAGAAACAGAATGTGGTTGCTCGGTCTAGTGCAAAAGCAGAATATCAAGCAATGGCTATGGCGGCATGTGAGCTAATTTGGATCAAGCAGTTGCTCAAAGAGTTGAAATTTGGTGAGATCAGCAAGATGGAACTTGTGTGTAATAATCAAACTGCTCTTCATATTGCGTCAAATCCAGTGTTTCATGAGATAACTAAACACATTGAGATTGACTGTCACTTTGTCAGAGAAAAAATATTCTCTGGAGATATTGCTACAAAGTTTGTGAAATTGAATGATCAACTTGCAAATATCTTCACCAAGTCCCTCACTGGTCCTCGATTAGCTACATATGTAACAAGCTCGGTACATATGCTTTATATGCACCAGCTTGAGGGTGGGTGTTAGAATAGTTATGTGAATATATGTAATTAGTCCTAGTCCCTTATGTAATAGGAGTAGGTTATGTGTTATGTATACATATAAATAGGGCTCATTGTGATATAGAGTAACAATCAATAATATTTTCTCCCGTGCTTTCTCACACTCATCACGCTCTTCATAGGTGAAACTTTCAAAAATACCTTCTCGCCCTCCATATAAGCCACATCACGGACCTTCTTATCCGCTTAACTCTTGTGCCTACTCTACGCTGTCCGAAGGCGATCCTAAATCAACTTCACCTTCTCCAGAGCATCACGAACCAAATCCGTACCCAACATTCTAGCCTCACCAAGCTCAAATCAACCAATAGGAGAACGACACCGCCTACCATATAAAGGGGAGATACATCAGAGTTATTTATAACAAATCAAAAATCAGGTTAATTTCAGATATGACCACTAAGCTTCACCCGCTATAATAGTAAAGTCATAAAACTACTTTTTGCCATGTCAAAATTAACCGAACTACTCGCCATAACAGTAAAGTCACAGTTTCAAGGCTTACTTGATAAGGGATTCATTAGACCTAGTTTATCTCCATGGGCTGCACCGGCGTTATTTGTGAAGAAGAAAGATGATGCTACGAGGATGTGCATTGATTATTGACAGTTGAATAACGCTGCTATCAAGAACAAATATCCATTGTCTCTTTTATCAACTTCCCAAAACCTCATCTTCCTCACGTCATTTTCATCAACAAAGCAGGCCCTTTACTCCAGCCAAAAACCAGTCCAAAAGCAGCCATAAAACCCCATTAAAGCAGCTTCAAAAACGAGCTGCAGTCCCAGTTTAATAGTTCCCAATAGGATAGCTAGCTCCTATGTTGATGGTCTTCCAAATGGTCCGGTTCCTGGAAAGGAAAACAAAGAGATGGGGAATCATTTTTAGGTGAAGACGATACCAAAGCTCTTTCTATCAGATATTGACTCTTGCTAGAACACGAATTACAACATTGAAACCAAGAATTAAAGATCAAACCAAATTTCTTAAACTTTCTTAACTTTGAAACTTCCAACTTCCACCGAACATGTCCGAATCATACTTAGACACTTCAGATTGCAACCAAACTTTGCACACAAGTTCCATTTAATAACACGAACCTATCCTCAGTCCGGGAATAACAGTCGGAGTCCAATAACATCAAAGTCAACTATTGGTTAAACTTGAGAACTCTCCGGTTCTTCATATTACCAACTTCCAACAAATAGAATCAAAATCTTCTAGGAATATCCTAAATCAAATCCGAACATATGCTCGAGTCCAAAATCCACAAGGGAAATACTTCTCATACTCACCAAACACTGGGTACAACAACAAGCACTTAAAGTGCATAAAAATAATCATGGGGAGACGGATAGCATAATACACTATGGAAATGTTAAGCACGACTAAGGTGCAATACGTGAATCAATGTTCCAGGAGCCATATCGCTTATATATCGCCACAAGGCCTAAATCGGACCACAACATGCATGTGAATAATCAAGTAGTCCCACAACCCATATAGCATATGAGAGAAACACATGAAATAGATCAAGGCAATGGGAGCTTGAACAAACATACTTGGAGTTCATGGAATCCGATTCTATGTAAAGAGCTTAGTTAAACATACGTTAATCAAGTTTCCTTAGTGATCCTACCACGTTCCACTACTCTTTACACTTCAATCTACATCACAAGATCCAATTGAACCAATATTAGCAAGAATGCCATGTTTTAGGTAATTTAGGTATCAGACCCTACCTTGTTTGTACAATCTGTTGTACTACGGCGATCTTGGTCACATCAAGAATGACCTTCGCTGATAAGAGCTTGTGTATCAGAGCAGGAAATAAACTAAACAGACCCTACTTGATGGGAATAATCCTTAGTCGCACGGTTGTACTTGCTAGAATTTGCTGGTGACACTTGGTATGTGGGTTTCATGTTTGGGGTTTAATCAAATGAGTGTATAATGAGGAGCAACACATTAAGAAAACAAAAGATGTCCAGAATCTTTTGTTGTCATACTTCTTTCATAGTTTTTAAATGGAGCTTGGGGAACTCCATAACTTCTAGTTTGCAATCTGTTTTTAGTGCCCATTGGCATTTGAATCTTTCTCCCTGCTACAAATGTAACTTAGTATAATTTTTAAGGTGGAGTGCAACATTTTATCAAGTTCATTTTATTGTCTATCTTTTTAATAAAAACAGCTTCAGCAAAACCTCCTGGGACGATTAATTTAACAGGGTGCCTGATCACCTGTTTGAAGAAGTGGAACAAATGTGCAACTTTTGTTGCACATGATAGATGGATTGTAGGATGAGTTCAAAACATCATGTGGTGGAGTAGGAAAGGAGCTTTTAATCCTTAGGTTCCTTCTGTTTTTCGACTTTCTTACTTTTGCAACAGTCCAGGAGCTTTTATTAGTTGATACGAAAATTACACGTGTCTGTCGGAAATTTAGTTCCGTTATTTTGGTCCATTTTGAACTATCTTTGATCTCTGGATGGTTTCAGTGGGCGGTCAATGTCCAGCGAACTAGGAAAGTGTAGTCAAGGATTGCTTTTGTATCTCTCTTTCGAAATGCTGAGACTTTCTGGCTTCTATGTTGAAGAAATAAATAGATATTAGATGGTCCCTTGTAGCAGTTCGAATCATGTCGACATTCTATTTGAAGCGCACGGTAGTCATCTACCTATGACATGAAGATCCACGGTCTCTTTGGCACATTTAGTGGCTTGTTTATGCTCATACTTGTGTAGTTTTCTCATTTGCTGTTTGCAAAAATGAAGCCTCACCTTCTGTCTTCCTTTTTGCAGGCTAGAAATTTTCGTTTTAACTGTGGTCTTGTCTATGTCGCTGAACCAGGGTTTGTGCATTTTTCCTTTTCCAATTGTTTAAATGATTGATCTAATGTAGTTTTTTTTCTCAAGTTCTCATGATGCTTGATTTCTAAGTATCTGTTAGTGCAGTCTTTAGATACTGGCTTGTAAACAAATCGTATTGACTGTGACTACTATTTGCCGTTGTAGATACATGCTATTTAGAGCAGGAGTTCCTCGCCATTCCATCATTAAAAAATTTGCAGGGGAAGGTATATCAAGGCTTGAAGACTTAATTTCCGTTTTATCTAAGCTGTCTAGGGGAGCAAGAGTACCATTGGAGTATATAAGCTACAAGGAACGTCATCAAAGAAAGGTATTAGAAGCACTGCTACCGAACTATCTGTCAAACAAAAATTTGTTTCCATTGCTACCGCTCATTTTACCCTCATTTATGTTCCTGCTTCCTGTTATCATCTCTTCTGTTTGTTGATAAGCACTATTGCTGGTACTAGTTTGCCTTTTCAATTTGAACTTGGTGATCTGCTTAAACCATGGTCGACAAGCTGTGCCTCTTCTATAGTTGGGTATTACTACTGATATGTCAGGTAGAATGGAGCCTTCTTCTTAATCAGAAAGGGTAAAGGGAAGAAAAAGAAAAGTAATGGAAGGTCCAATATTTGTTGTCACCAACAGTGTCAGGAGTATTGGCAGGAAATCTCTGTAGCTGCATTGGTTTTACAATTATGAAGTATTTACCTAAATGGTTTCAGATGTTTCGAAATATAAGGGCAAGAGTATAATATATCCACCTGTTTGCAACTTTGTGTTTGTCAACAATGATCTTAATGATCATAATCATTTTGCATGTAGACATAGTGTTTGGTCACTTTACGGTTTTCGTGTTTTTTTTTTTTTTTAAATTGTATTTGAACATCGAATCTGTAAGAGGGATGAATTACTTGAGCTATGAAGATGTAGGTGTAAAAGATGTAATGATTGGGAATGGGTGAATTACAGCAGTGTGCAGAACACTGAGGCTACCATGGCTCTTTATAAAACAAAGCAGGGGTGGGATATTAACTCTAGGAGAAACTCTAATGATTGTGAAGTGGATGATGTGTAACTATTGCTACAGATGCTGGAAGTAGTACCTTTGCGGATATTCCAGATTCATTAGCTTTGAAGCCAGAGAAAAGTAAGATGTTTACTCTCAGCTCCTACCACAAGTCCCTGATCTCCTCTGGTGGTGAAATGTCACTTTGTCCTTGGAAGAAGATTTGGAGAAGCAAAGTTCAAATTGAAGTAGCACGTTTTTGCTGAACTTTGACACATGAAGCTGCTCTCTCTCAAGATAATCTTCAGAAGAAGGCGACATTATTATGCAATAGGTATCAAATGTCTGGGGCTGGAGCTGACGATGTCAACCACTTATTCATACAATGCCCCTTGACAATACATCTGCGGCAGTTATTTCTCAGTTTTAAACAGTGTCAAGTGGTCTACAACAATCAGTAAAGGAGTTAATGTTGTGCTGGTCTAACAGAGAACTCTGCAGGGACAAAAGAAGAGTTGGGACACAATATCAGCATGTATTTGGTGGGTGATATAGAAGGAAAGAAATCAGAGGGTTTTTGAAAGCAAAACTGAATATTCTTAGTGTAAAATGAGAAATGTCAAAATAATGTAGAAAGCATAGTGGGGATCTGCAGTCTCTTTGAGTGAAGGGACTGGAGTTATTGAACCTTGATGCACATTCCTGCACAAGCCTATGCTTTCTGATTCAATAAAGCTGTCGGAAAGTCCTTTTGGTTTTCCCATCATCTTCTTGCCTGGAAGTATGACCTTCTAATAAACCTTATTTTGACTGCAGTCCGTCTTGGTCACAATTGACCGCCATGAGTGGTATGCACCCCCACAGATATATAAGCGCGACGACAGCACTGGCTTATGGACAGTGAAGCTGGCTTTGCGGCAGGAGTCCCCACTCTTGCTATCAGGCATTTATCCAGTAGAACAAGATTTATCAAATCATACCGGATCTTGTACTGGTGAGCTAAAGGACTATATACCTGAAGAAGTCAGCCAAGAACTCATGGATGCAGTTACTTCTTTGGAAACTAGTGGTGAACATGTTGCTGAGGGACCAAATTCTCAGGATGATTCTGATAATGGAACAAAGAAAGAGAGGGTGGAAGAGAACTCATCTGTAGATGGTGATGTAATAGCGGATTGTTCTTTAAACGAGCATGGAGAAGAAAAATTGGATGAGTCTGGATCTGTGGAAGATGCAGTTCTGAGAGATTATCAGGGTGCAGCACCTGTAGCAGCTACTTCAGTTGCTGAGCGCGTAATTGAGCCTACTCTTGTGATGTTTGAGGTAACTTTAAGGTCTCAAAGGACTTGTATACTTTATTGAAAAGCATTTATATTTTTTTATCATGAATGTTGATTATTCAAGTTTCTCCATTACCTCTCTTTTGGGTGCCTGGGCGATGGCTTTCTTTTCTTAAGCAGTACTTAATAAACGACTTTTGATCTTTCAAAGTTTTCTTTCTCCTTTGCTTCTTTGTTCCTGGGAGGTGGTTTTTGTTGTGTAATCAGAATAATCAGACTAAGAAATGTGTTAAACCCCAGTGATGGAGCAGAAAGCTTTTCTTTTGGCTGTCTCTCTTTCGGGTCCCTGGGAGGTGAGTTTCATTTTCTAAGTTTTATTAATGACCTTTGATCTTTCAAATTTCTCTTTCTCCTTTGCTGCTTGGTTCCTGGAAGGTGGTTTTTATTGTGTAATCAGATTAATCAGACTAAGAAATGTGTTAAACCCAGTGATGTTTCGGGTGTGTGTTTTTTCGGTGAACTTCTGCTTTGGATGTTAACTTTGCAATAGCTGCATGTGCGTTGCAATAAAAAAGTGTTTTATTCTCTTGACTCATCCGACATTCCTTCAATTTTTTTTTGTGCACCATAAAGTGTTATGAATGTGATAATGATGGTCATATGGACTTCTATAGAATGCTTTGAGCATTACATTAAGGCAATTGATGTTATTGCAACTACTAGTAAGACTTCATTCAGCATTCAGTTTAATAGTGTAGGACATAAAATATGCTGATTTCTTTTACTCACTGTTGGTTTAAACTTGATATATCCGTTAGCTATAACGAGTGGTGGTTTCATAGTTTTGTGTTAAAAAATAATCACTACCAAAATGACATGACTGCAATTAGGAGGTATCTCTGGATTTTTTTTGTATCCTGTTAATTCCTGTTTCCGTTTTCTAGCTAAAGTACCTCTTATGGTGTTAAAATTGCAGGTTCATGTCCCTTCATCATGTATGCTTGATGGTGTTCACTCGCAGCATTTTCTTGGAACTGGGGTAATTGTATATCATTCTGAAACCATGGGCTTGGTTGCTGTTGACAAAAACACAGTCGCTGTACCAGTTTCTGATGTCATGATATCATTTGCTGCCTTTCCTATTGAAATTCCTGCCGAGGTGAGGTTTTATGGGGGAAGTTTTTTACCTCCTGTTACTTCTCCTCCATTGTTGTTAAGAAGCTCAGTAACCTTTTGGGCCATTTTGTATAGGCCCAACCTAGCTCAATGTTGTTGGATTTGACTTAAGTCATGCAATTTTGACTTAAATATTTAATCAGCCTTATTAACCCTCAGGTAGTCTTCCTCCACCCTTTCCATAATTTTGCTTTGGTTGCATATGACCCCTCTGCTTTGGGAGCTGCTTGCGCCTCTGTGATTCGTGCTGCTGAACTTCTTCCTGGTACGTGTTAAAACTCTTTGGATGATTCTATCATTAACCTGCTTCCCTTTCATGTTCTCGCTGGCGGGTGGGGAAAGTGATTTGTCATCATTTCAGTTGCTTAACATGTGAGTATGCATTATATGCTTCCAAGTGGAAAGATATTTGGTTCACAAATTTCTTTTTAAAAATCCTCGTTCTAGAGGGGAGTTTTAATCCTGCTACTGATCAGGATGTGATCCCCTTTGACACCATATCTATTTATAAAATACTTTTCCCTTTCTTTGGTCAATGGTCTTTTACCCAAGTTGAACGCAAATTCTGTAGTCTCCCACTGTATACTGAGATATTTTTGCAGAAAATGGGCATGTTTCACATTCTTCACAAACTAAAATATTTTAAGACAACTTTTCCTTCTTCCCCCTTCCCAAAGTACATAATATCTTTGGACTAGTACCATGCTGTCTTTGGAAAATTTTCAACATAAGGTTGTGACTCCTTGAAATCCTCTTTAACCTGCTTACCTTGTTATTATGTTTCTCGGAAAATGATGTCTCATCTCATCCAGAACACCTTCTTTTGTTTCTTAATTACTATTTTGTTGCCAACAGAGCCTGCTCTGTGTCGAGGAGATTCAGTTTATCTGGTGGGATTGAGTAGAAGCCTACGGGCAACCTCTAGGAAATCAATTGTCACTAACCCTTCTGCTGTTTTGAAAAGTGGATCCTCTGATGTTCCGCGATACAGAGCAACAAACCTGGAAGTCATTGAGCTTGACACTGGTATGTTGGAACATAAGGGTCCTGCTCACTATTTGTGGTGCTGATTCCTATATCCTAGCGCTTTAGCTCTCATTTCGTGAACTTTTCATGGTTCTCTACCAATTCTTCTTTTATTCATCAAAGCTCATCCTAATCTCCATCTAGATTACTGCCTTATCCCTGTCCTATCATTGTATAATGGATTCTGTGACCTTTCAGATTTTGGAAGCACCTTTTCTGGTGTTCTTACTGATGAGCGTGGAAGGGTTCAAGCTTTATGGGGAAGCTTTTCAACGCAGGTATGTAATTTTGAACTGCTGCTCGAGTCGCTCGAGCGTGGAAGGGTTCAAGCTTTATGGAGAAACTTGTTTTAAGTCCTTCCTTCACTCTTTCCAGCTAAAGTATAGCTCGAGTTCATCAGAAGAGCACCAATTTGTCCGGGGTATACCAATTTATACAATAAGCCAAATCGTTGACAGGATGACTTCTGGCACAGGGGGACCACCTCGTCTTATAAATGGTTTGCAAAGACCTATGCCGTGCATAAGAATATTAGAAGTAGAACTTTACCCTACTTTGCTTTCCAAAGCTCGAAGTTTTGGACTAAGTGATGCATGGATCCAGGTAATCTGCTACTTCTGTTGGTTTCTTTTTCTGTCATTACTCGTTTATGTTCTTGTGTTTTCCTCTTATCCATTTCTTGAACTGAATGTGTGTTTTCTCATAAAAAAATTCACCTCGCCTAAGACACAGAAACTTGGTCTACTTCCTTTAAAGCTCTTTTAACATCTGGGTCCATATGTGCTAGATGTGTCCTCACTTCGTTAAAGGTTAGTCGCAACTCCCAAGAAGAATACAACCCAAGCTGTAAATGAACCAAAAATTCTAAGGTTACTTGGCGTACTTGGTCTTCAATTTCATCATGAGTGTATCTATCTGTATATGTGACTTGGGTATCATAGTACAAGTGTATGAGTAAAATTTGTTGGGAATTAGCTTGATGTGATGTTTATGGATCTGGATATAATCATGGACATCTCTGGTTGCCACCTGGTTAATCTTCCAGGCAACATTTACTTGATAGACATGTCGACACCCCCCCCCCCCCCCAAAAAAAAAAAAATAAAAATAAAAAACCCCACCCACAAAGATGAATTCCTACTCCCAAGTAGAATTCAACTAAAGCTTGAAACTGGTAAATGAGATCATCAATTATACAATTGCTTATTGGGCATGTGTCATGGAATTCGTGCACGGGCATATATATATATATATCTGCCTGTAAACTGTATCATGTTCATGTGTATGGTAAATTGCAACTGCCAAGAAGAATACAACCCAAGCTGTAAATGGACATGTCTTATTGCTCATCATTTGCCTCTTCATTTTATGTTACCTGAAATTTAGAGGCTCTCTATTGATGTTTATGCATGTTATTAGCTTTAGTCCCACTCAACTGTTTCTAAAGGATATCTTTTGAATAATCTTAGGCTTTTCATGTGATCTTAAAGAATTTCAGATATTCTTGCCAAGATGGTTATAAGGGGTGAGCATAGTATGTGAGTTGGGCATTTTCTTAATAGTTGACATATCTCATTTAGGCCCTTGTGAAGAAGGATCCTAAGAGACGCCAGGTTTTGCGAGTTAAAGGTTGCTTTGCTGGCTCAAAAGCTGAAAACTTGTTGGAACAAGGGGACATGGTCTTAGCAATTAATAAGCAGCCAGTTACATGCTTTCGTGACATTGAAGATGCATGCCAATCGTTAGACCATTCCAGTCACGATGATGGAAGACTAGATTTGACAATCTTCCGTCAGGTTAGCGGGAAGCTATTTAGCATTAGCTTTACTTTTTTCAACTTCTCTCCACTTATTTGATCAATAGGACTTTATTATCATCATCAAGTACAAGAGTTCAGACATTCGCTTAGATTCTTATTAAGTTGTCTCATGGTTTCTCAGGGAAATGAAATTGAACTACTTGTGGGAACGGATGTAAGGGATGGAAATGGAGCCAAACAGGCAATAAATTGGTGTGGCGGTATTCTCCAAGACCCTTATCCAGCTGTACGTGCACTTGGGTTTCTGCCCGAAGAAGGCCATGGAGTATATGTGGCAAGGTGAGGAGACACTAGAATGTTGTAAAAAATTGAAGATGACAGGAGTGCTTCTGATCCATTTGCTTCTCAATTCTTAAGTTTTCATTGCCACGTACTATTTATATTACATGTTTTCTTTTTATCTGCTATACTTCAGCTGCAATCTCTAGTCAGCAAGTAGTTAGTAGTTTTTGCTTTAGCTGACCTAATTGTGCCCTTGTGAATTTTCTTTGTCAACTATTTTGTCACAAAGGCTAATTAATGCCTATTTCTCAGGTGGTGTCACGGGAGTCCTGCACATCGTCATGGTCTCTTTGCTCTTCAATGGATAGTTGAAGTCAATGGCAAACCAACACCTAACCTGGATGCTTTTGTCGATGTGACTAAGGTATGGCTTTTATTTATTGAGAAACTTCGCAAGAACTTATTGTGCCTGAATTGAAGATGTACTAATCGCGGCTTTAGAAATGAACTAGAGATACATTTCTTTTCGAACGTGGTTCTAGCAAGCTTTGTTAATGATTCTCAGTTAACAAATTTCTGTATTGATTTTTTCTGTGGTCATGGTTTTAACATCTACTTAATTGAGTTCCTTACAGGCAATAGAGCATGGAGAGTTTGTTCGTATACGAACAGTTTACCTGAATGGGAAGCCCCGAGTGCTCACATTGAAGCAGGATTTACACTACTGGCCAACATGGGAACTCAGGTTTGATCCTGAAACTGCAATGTGGCGACGCAAAGTAATCAAAGCATTGGATTCTGGTGTTCTGTGAACTATCTCGGTTGATTGTTCAAAGCATTTACACTACTCGGTAATTTTTGTACTGTTGGTATTTAAAGTTGTCATGTGTCATTGTACGTGAATCTTAATGAACTAAAGGTATATGGATTTGATGGCTATATATTGTAAAATAACAAATTATCTGATCATTTTTTCCAAAAAAGAAAATTACAGAAATTGTAGAGTAAGATAAAGGCACATGGCAGTAAGTTTATTATATGCTCTAGACAGCCTATTGTGTACCTGATTTGTTTAAAATATGAACATGGGAGGGATTTTAGCCTCTGTTAACTGGTGATTGCCCAGTTTGCTCGCTAGGGTGAATGTTCAAATTTTCTGCTGAACAATATTGTGTAATTTAGGTGACAATATTACACCAAGTTGCTTATCATCTCATAATTTCTTTTTCTATTTATAATTTCTGACACTATGCGAACTGTTTAACCATCTCAGTTCCGGGCAAGGGTGTTCAATCCCCAACTGAAGTTTGTGTTTTATTAGTTATGCATGTTCAAATTGTTTGATTAAACATATTCATGAAATACCTGAAATCAGGAAACAAAGGGCTGCTAATCGATTTAATCAAACAGAATTCTCCATATAGGGATATTCATATGGTAATGGGTGGAAAATAGCAACGATAGGGGGATTCATAAGGTGGAGAACCATATAAGAAGCCTTGACTAGACAGTTTACTAATGTCTCGCATTTTAGCAATGCAACTGAAGTAAAAGTTAAAGTTAGTATTGTTTGACCAAAAAAGTGCTAAACCTTTTTTAAAATGAATTAAAGAGAGATTAGAGGGTGAATCTGATCACGCCCAACTATGCCTTATAAAAAGGACTAAGCGGTCGTTACAAATATAATCCGGTTTACAAGTCCGGAGTCGAATCCCACAGAGAACTAAGATTTAGCTACAACTGTTCACTATCACCAAGAAGACAAACTTGAAAAATTCCTAACTTATAGATATTAAGATTCTTGTGTTTAACTAATTAACTAACAAATTAAAATAGTAAATTAACAACTAAAGATACTAAGGGTTAGAGACAAACTTAAGTAGGTCTAGAGTTATGATTTCCCCTATTGTCGGAAGGAGGTCTAGAGTTATGATTTCCCCTATTGTCGGAATCTTTTTCGCTACGTTTTCTATAAATTCGCTTAAATATTCTCTACTGATCATGAGCGCTATGACTGTCGTAACTCTCTCCCGAGTAATTACCACAATTTACTAGACATATTCTCCCGAATTACGCTATCTGACATTAAGTACAACTCACTCAGATCGTACCAAGGTTTCGATATCCCTAATCCCACCTTTAAACTCTCCGTATTGATCCCTCATATACGTTAGGAGTGATGTTGTTCAACAACTACCTAAATATGCACTCTCTCCCGAGTAATACACACTAAATAGGCACAATCGATTGAGAGCTCTTCAACCAACCACAACCACAATAATAATGTAGTTGAACAAATAGAGAAAATACTAAAGGCAAATCTATATTAACGTAACAGGAAAATCATCCTCCAAAGGGTTCCATCAAAACCCTAGATAACAAATTAGCTATTCATAATAGTATGCATAACTACAATACTAGAATTCATAACCAATAATAGAAATAGGAAGAAGGAATTGAAAAACTCGTAGATGAATTCTCCTCCGCCTTGCTCCTAGTGTGTTCTTGCCTCCGTAGGTTTCAAGTGTGTCCGAACTCGATCTCCCCTTCTCCGTCTCTCTCAAATCCCTCCAAAGTGACGTTTTTAGGTCTATTTATATGTTTAGAACAGGACCTAAACGTGTAGGTCAACTCCTAGTCAAGCCAGGAAACAATTAAAACCTTTAAAACTCGGACTGGGCCTGGCCTTAGGCCTGGCGTCGCCTGGCTAACGCCAGCCTAGGCCTGGCTTTAAGCTTGCCTCGCCTGGATAACGCTAGCCTAGGCCTGGATTTAAGCTGGCCTCGCCTGGATAAAGCCTGGTCGAGCTGGCTTTTGCCCGGCTTCTCCTTTTCACCGTTCTCGAGCGCACTTTCGACGTTTAAGCATCACTTTAGCTCTATTTTCATTTTTGATGCACCTACACATAAAATAGACTCTATTACGCACAAATAAAGTGTAATTTATCATTAAAGCATGTAAAATGCAAGCAAATCCAAAATGACATCATTCGGACTCATACGACGAGATCATACCCAATCAGCGCAAGGTCGGTTTCCCAATTAAAAAGATCAGGGACTCATCACAAAGAAATCTGAAGGTCTACGTCAAAAAGAGAAATATAACAAACGAGAGGGAAAGAAAAAGAAAATCAAAAAATACACAAATAAAGGCGAAGCAACTATTTCATTTAAATATACGTGCGCTACAGCCGACCTTTTTAAGCAATTCTCCTAGCTCATCACACCAAGAATCTTTAAAATAGACTAAGCACAAGGGTATAACATCTTCACCTCCAGATTTGACTCGCAAGTACCATGTATTATTCACAACTCACTCACTTACTCTAACATGGAGGTCAATGACTACCTTTCTTTCATGAATCATGTGCCCTCACTCAATAAAAGAGAGTAGTTCCACACAATAAAATTTAAGAACAATTAGGAACTCAAGATGGAAAGAATTCACTCACTCTCAGAAATAACATTCATATGCCACAAAAGATGCACCATAGGCTTGCCCGTAGTGTACTACTCGACTAATCGAGCTCATCCAGTCTAGGATCAAGTAGGACTTTAATTGGTTGTAATGTCGGCTATGGGCCGGATAAGATACATTTGGATATAAGAGTGACTACACCTCCCTAAGCACTTTAATACATATATTTTAACATTCAAACCCCACACTTATGTCAAACCATAGCTCCACCTTCACGTCAATATATATTAACTTCATATTTCTTTAAGCACAATTACTTTAAGAGTCACCACTTAGCAAGGACTATTTTTTTTCACAGCAATACAACTATATTTTCTTTTTTTTTTCTTCCAATTCAAGTGGCTCTTATTTTTTTTTCAACACAGTGCACCTTTCTCCTTATTTCATTAGCTCCACTCAAAATCCAAACCAACCACCCCACACTTTAACTTTTACAAAGTTCATTACAATTCAAGTGCTCATGAGAGGTGAAAATATTCAAATAGATGGTTAATTCAAACAAAGGGATATGGCTTGTAATGTGGTTGCCAAAGAAACATGATTACATGCTCAAATGGGTTAACTACGATACATAACAATTAGGCGGGTAAAATATACATATCTGGCTCAACAAAGAAATGCTTATATCACTTTCAAGACTGAACAAAACTACTATTTCGCTTTGCAAACACACAGGGCAAGTTCTAGGCATCAAATGTAATGCACAGAATAACACCCAAACCTCACACACACATGACACATAACTCATTCAGGATTGGACTCATCAAGACACTCTAGTCAAAGCAGTTAAGCAAAGTTAATGTCATACAATTTAAGGCACTTCTACAAGAGTCAAAAACTGAGCCTAAGCGTTACAACCAAAGTACTCACTATTTTTAAGGCATAACAAAGTCAAGAGATATTGCTGCAATTCAACTCATCTCACACTAGCTCCTACTCCTAAAAAAATAAAACTAACTACACCCGGTTCAAACAAAACCATTGGAAAAGAACCGCAACACAAAGAAAAACCAAGTGGGCATTACTACACTACCTACAAAGAAAATCTTTTTTTTTAGACTTAAATCCCTCAAGAAAACTGTCTAGGATATCCATCGTCGGGAAAAGTCCAATCCTTTTTTTTCGTTTTTCTAAAAAATAAAAAAAATATTCAATTAAACTAACACAACTAAAATAGCATAGAAAAAGTCACCCAGACAATCTCTCACCCCACACTTAAAATTGTGCATTATCCCCAATGCACACCATACTAATAAGAGGGTAAAAGAAACTCCCTGGTAGGCCAAAGGCCGAAGCACTAGCAGCTCATGGGGTACTCAGACTTCTCTCAGGCTTGGTCCTTCGTGCCGGTACCTCACACTTAGTTCCAACAATCTAGTTTGTTGTTGCATCCTTACAATAGCTTTGCTTTCCATGCTCCTAGAAAATCAAAAATCGACACTACAAAATAATACAATAATAAAAAATAAAAATAATAATAATAAAATTAAAATAAAAGAAAGCAATAAAGCTGGGTTGCCTCCTAAAAAGAGCTTGATTTAACGTCGCGGCACGACGCAAATCACTTTCTGCCTCCACTTTAAACTTATAAATTGGACCCCAAGTTTTGATTCTGCTCTGTGATCATGCTCCTGGGCGGTAGAACGAATCTGACTAGCACAATGAAACAATGTAGTATTCTGCACTTTTTGGCCTTTGGATGAGATGTATATTCCCGACTTTTTGGCACGAAGAATTCCAGAATGTAGGCATCTTGTTCCTTACTCCTTGACTCCTCAAGTGGCTCGGACGACTCTATTTCCATATCATCATCCAAACACAATATGGAAAAATGCTTGGAGTGTGGACCAATGTGATCAACTACATAAACATTGGGATTGTCAACATCCTCAACACTAATGACACTAAAGTCAACTTAATATGTATCCTCAATATCCTTGGATGAATCTAGTATCTCTTTTACGACATCGACATCCTCAAAATCTAGTTCAATTGATTGGTGGTGTTCTACTCTGGCCTTCTTCTCTAGCTCATCCTCGTATTTTTTTAAATCCTCCAGTATAATGGCAATTTCTGCAGCTAATTCATACTCATATTGGCTACTATCCACAATGTCAACTTGTTGCGCTTTACAAGGTTCAATTAATTTATTCACTTGAGCCTCCAAGTTGTGAATGGTTGCCTCTTGCCTTTGTATCTGCCGTGGTTTCTCATCATATTGTTCCACATGGCACTTTAGCATATCCTCGATCTTTTTCATGTCATCATCCCTAGGTTCTTTATTCCTATTAACTTCACAAGAAAAAGAAGAACCATCAAGGTAAGGGGTTGGGGGAAGATAAGAAATATAAGCACAACCATGAAAGTAACCATCTTGACCACCACACATATCACATACATTCCACACATAAGATTGAGCTGGTGCACACAACTCGCTCTCGAGAATATTTTGATAATTTTGCACTGGGTGGTTTCCTCCATAATATGCATAAGGAGGATCAAAAATAGGATTACCAACATCAAAAGTCTCATAATTCCAAGATGCCATGTTTTTTAAAAATCAACAAGTAACACAAAATAAAAAAATAAAAAATATTAAAAATAAAAATTCAAACTTGAAACCTAGCAATATGTACACCTACAGCTACACCGTTAGTTCCCCGACAACGGCGCCAAAATTTGATCGCCCAACTATGCCTTATAAAAAAGACTAAGTGGTCGTTGCAAATATAATCCGGTTTACAAGTCCGGAATCGAATCCCACAAAGAACTAAGGTTTAGCTACAATTGTTCACTATCATCAAGAAGACAAGCTTGAACAATTCCTAACTTATAGATATTAAGATTCTTGTGTTTAACTAATTAATTAACAAATTAAAATAGTAAATTAACAACTAAAGATACTAAGGGTTAGAGACAAACTTAAGGAGGTCTAGAGTTATGATTTCCCCTATTGTCAGAATCTTTCCCGCTACGTTTTCTATAAATTCGCCTAAGTATTCTCTACCGATCATGAGCGTTCTGACTGTCGTAACTCTCCCCCGAGTAATTACCATAATTTACTAGAAATATTCTCCAGAATTACGCTAGCTGACATTAAGTCCAGCTCACTCAGATCGCACCAAGGTTTCGTTATCCCTAATTCCACCTTTAAACCCTCCATATTGATCTCTCATATACGTTAGGAGTGATGTTTTTCAACAACTACCTAAATATGCACTCTCTCCCAAGTAATACACACTAAATAGGCACAGTCGATTGAGAGCTCTTCATCCAACCACAACCACAATAATAACGTAGTTGAACAAATAGAGAAAATACTACATCAAATCTATATTAACGTAACATGAAAATCATTCTCCAAAAGGTTCCATCAAAACCCTAGATAACAAATTAGCTATTCATAATAATATGCATAACTACAATATTAGAATTCATAACCAATAATAGAAATAGGAAGAAGGAATTGAAAAACTCGTAGACAAATTCTCCGCCTTGATCCTAGTGTGTTCTTGCCTCCGTAGGTCTCAAGTGTGTCCAAACTTGATCTCCCCTTCTCCGTATCTCTCAAATCCCTCCAAAGTGACGTTTTTAGGTCTATTTATATGTTTAGGACAAGACCTAAACGTGTAGGTCAACTCCTAGTCAAGCCGGGAAACAATTAAAACCTTCAAAACTCGGACTGGGCCTGACGTCGCCAGGCTAACGCCAACCTAGGCCTGGTTTTAAGCTGGCCTCACCTGGATAATGCCAGCCTAGGCCTGTCTTTAAGCTGCCCTCGCCTAGATAAACCTAGCTAGGCCTTGCTTTAAGCTGGCCTCGCCTGGATAAAGCCTGATCGAGCTGGCTTTTGCCCGACTTCTCCTTTTCACCATTGTCGAGCGCACTTTCGACGTTTAAGCATCCCTTTAGCCCTATTTTCATTTTCGATGCACCTATACATAAAATAGACTCCATTACGCGCAAATAAAGTGTAATTTATCATTAAAGCATTTATAATGCAAGGCAAATAATGTACGAAACTATGAAATTATAGCCACCCATCAGAATCCTAGTTAAAGATAATTAATTCCAGATCTCAGATGGATAACATGAATAGAAAAATATAGTTGAGTACAAATGTTGACAGTAGTTATGGCCGGATCTAATAGTATGAAAAAGACCATACATTAAATAACATTAAATGGCGATAAAACATAAATAAAGGAGAAGATTCACCCAATCTTGAGTGAGGCGAATCTTCTTTCATTTGATAACGATGAATGATAGACAAATACAAGAATCTTGGGACCAATTTCGGATCTGATGGGGAGTGTGGGATAACAGATCATCTAATCTTTTTAGAGAGATGTGTTTTTATTTTTTTCTAGAGATAGAGAGTTTGCCCCCCTTTTAGAGAAGTCCTCCCTTCCTATTTATAAGGGATATCCCTAGAAAATCCTAAAAAAGTACAATTAGAGGAAATATCCAGTAGAATATTCTCTTTGAAGATTCCAAAGCAAAACTAGTTGTTACATCTATCTATACTGTTCGGCCTCGGCCTTGTTGATGATCATTGCTCGACCTTGGCCTTATTAATCAATGCTCGACCTCAACCTTATTGATCACTGCTCGACCTCGACCTTATTGATCATTGCTCGACCTCGGCCTTGTTGATCACTGTTCGACCTCGGCCAGACATCCCAATTCGATTCGCATGTTACTCATGGCAATTGTCTTTGCATGTTGAATTTCTCTGATTTGATTTTGACCCATACAGTTAGTCCCTCCGCTTAATGAGGTCGTCTTTTGGACAAGCTCGGTGAGCGGACTTCATTAATCGTAGTTCGAGAAATTTGAATGGGGAGGTCGAATAGTGAGGATCGCGGCTGAGGGTGTCGATCTTCAGGTCCAAGTGGTATCCCTGCGGGATAATATTGATAAGAACGAAAGTATTTGCAGCCAAGAATAGCAAACCTGCCACCGAGAGTTGAAGAAAGACATTCTTTCCTTTAAATTCAAGCAAATACCCCCACATCAACCAATGACCCTGAGCTGCCATCCACAACAAGATGCAGACCAATCCTTTTCCTTTGAGTTTCATGTTGGTCCATGGCAGGATTAGCGGCAAGAGACAAAAGAACCAAACAAAGTATTGATCTGTCATAACCTTGTTGAATACTACAAATGCCAGTCTGCACAAAGAAACAAAATGGAAAATCCTGTGCAAAGCGGAAAACAAGAACTAACTGCACCATAATCTGAAGCAGAAATGAGACAAGCTTTTCCAAGCTTGAAAACTCATGTTCATAGTGCAGATATATGTGGTAGAAATAGATTGAAAAATTGTGCCTTGGGTCCGTATGTGTGAGATGATAGAGAAGTGCTTTATCCAAGAACTCCCATCCATATAAATAGAAGAAAAACCCGGTAAGGAGAAAGAACATAGCTCCAGAAATAAGCCCAAACATTATCCTCCTCCAGGTGAAAAGGCTTGTCAACAAGTTCCATATACAATAAGGATCCATAATCTTTTTACAGCTGGAAGTCTGATGTGACTTGCTCTTTCGACAACTCCAATTCACAAGAGCCAAGAACTAAAATAATCGGAAGAGCTAGCATAAATTATTGGATAGATCCTCATGTGGACGACAAGCCCATACCAAAATGCAGCTTGTACAAAACAACCTTTCATTAGATATATAATAATCCAAAGGATTATGGCGCAGACGATAGGCTCACAATTCCCGCGAGTTCCAATGGTAAAGGTAAATGGATTCAAAAGCCATACCATCACCGAATAGTGCACAACTTTTTAGGAACCCCTCTTAGCTTTAGAATGTTGTTGATAATAAATACCACGAGAAGATCTGAAGCGGAGAACCCCAAGAAGGATGAATGAAACAAGAAGAAAAGCAATTAAGGGTGAGTAGCGATAAGGGGATTTTCCAGCAGCGACTAAAGCAGTTGCATATGAGAAAACAAGATAGTCCACATCTGTGTATCTAACTTCCATATGCCTATCTTGCCATTCTCCGTAAACTAAAAAATACCCTAAGGAATGCTGAGAATATGAGCAGAGACTTGAGATTTACTGTCACCATTCTCAAATGTGAATTCGAGCGAGGTCGGATGTTGATTCGAACGAGGTCGGATGTTGATTCGAGCGATGTCGAATATCACTTGTTTAGTTGATGCAGCGTCGCTTTGGCGATAATGCGGGTGAGCTTCATGCACTCATGCTTTGCCTATTGTTGGACTTCAGCTTACTACGGCCCATGATACAGGCCCACCACCGGTTTAGCTAGAGTTTATTTATTTGTATTTTGAGCTTCTGGGCCAAAGCCCAATATATTGTAAAAAATAACAGAGATACATTGAACAGGCTGGTACATTCTAGAAGAGAATAGAAAAATATTTTTTCTCTCTCTCTCTCTCCGGTTCTTCCTTCTCCCATGAACTTTAATCAATACTTCTTGATTTTTAGCTTGATTTAGTAGTTTTACATGGTATCAGAGCAGATGATCCACTGATTCTCCTTCTCCTGTTTTGAGCGGTGTTACCCTCGCTCATTTTCATCAGTTTTTCGCTCGATTGTCGATGTTCGTGGTTGATTCTGTTTCTGGTAGTTTCCTCTCGATTTGCAGATAGAATCAAGGTCGGATTTACCTTTCCGTCATTTATTGGTGGTATTTGTGATACGTGTGGGTGAATTTGGATCGAATTGGACCGATTTCCTCCTCTGCTACTGACCTAGAGTTTGTTCTGTTCAGATTTTTGGAATCTGCATTCAAGGCCGTTTGTTTTCCAGTAGCGAAAACATACGGTAATATCTTCCAATTTTCATTTCGTTGCTTTGGTCATCTGTTTGTGTTCGTTACTTTGACAAAAGTCTCTGACTGTCGATATAAGAGAATCTGATGCATCCTCGAGTACTACCTATACTCCTGACCCATCCAGTCCACTCTTTTTACTTTCTTCTGATGTACCTGGTGTATCTCTGGTTAGGGTGCCTTTCTCTGGGACTAGTTTTGGGGGTTGGAGGCAGAATATGATCGTATCTCTGTCCGCTAGAAATAAAATAGGATTCATTGATGGATGTTGTCTGAGACCAGCTGAGGATATTCCTCAGTTTAAGCAGTGGGATAGGTGTAATAATATGGTTATTTCCTGGCTGACTAATTCCCTACCCCGGACATAGCTGAGAGTGTTCAGTACTCGGATACTGCTGAGAGTATTTAGGCTCAGCTTAATAGAAGATATGGTTCAGTTAGTGGGGATTAAAGTGTTTGATATTAAGCAAGAGATAACATCTACTCATCAAGGGCCATTTGACATTGCTTCCTATTTCAACAAACTCAAAAAATTATGGGATGAGCTGAGGTTTATGTGCACTAATCATGCCAATACTTATGTTTGTGCTGCTAAACCTGGACTTCAAAAGGAGGTAGAGGAAAACAGATTACACCAATTCCTCATGGGTCTGAATAAGACCTATGTTGGTGTTAGGAGTAACTTGCTCATGATGCAACCTCCACCTTCTCTCGATACTTCTTATAGTATCCTCCTCCAAGATGAAAGCAGAGGCAAATTACTCCCAATTCTCATTTCTAGGGCGACTCTGCTTCTTTTCATGTTAATCTGAATACTAAATCTGCCCCTCCTAGACAGTTTGCCCAAAAAATCAGTTTTGATCAGAACAAGTCTCCTCTTTTATGCAAGTATTGTAAGAAACCTGGACATTTGATTGATAAATGCTATAAGCTCCATGGATTTCCACCAAACTTTAAATTCACCAAAGGTAAACGAACTCCTGCAAATGTTGAGGTGCAGAGTTCAATTTGTGCTTCTAAATCTGGACCAATTCCCACTGAAAGTCCTGCTGATTCCAATTCTGTGATTCCTGGTCTGTCTAAGGACCAGTATGCTCAACTCCTGATGCTACTTCAGCAACATCACATTTCAGAGTCTCTCCCTCAGTCTAGTCTGATGGCTTCTGCAAATTTTGCGGGTATAGTTCCTTCCCCTGATTGTGTAGGCAAGGTGTCTTGTGGTGCATGCATGCTAACTAGAGTCCATGAGTACACTTGGATAATAGATTTTGGGGCCACTAATCACATGACTTCTAAGAAAGAACTCCTATTTGATATTCAACCCCTAGTTGTCCTATATTTGGTCACACTTCCTAATGGATATAAAGTCAAAGTCACTTGCACTAGTTCTCTTCACTTTCTTTCTTTCACACTTCATCATGTACTTTTTGTCCCTAGTTTTCAGCACAATCTTATTTCTGTTCACAAGCTTTTTGCACAATTAGATTGCCTGGTTCTGTTTGGTAAATTTTCATGTTTTCTCATACAGGCCCCTTTAATGAAGAGGCCACTGGAAATTGGTAAACAGGATCATGGGCTATACAAGCTTGTGCAGCCATGTCCACAATCTGATTCTAGTGTTCTTGCTGCTATTTGTAATAGTTTTCCTACTTGTTCTTCTACTTCTATGTCTTCTAATTGTAAATACCATTCTCCATTGGCTACTATTAGAACTGATAATCATTTTACATACCACTCTGATTTGAATAAAATGGAGATTTTATGGCATAATAGGTTGGGGCATATTCCCTTTGTCAGAATGAAGGATATTTCATCCATTCCATGCAAATTTTCCTCCAAACAGTCTTTTACTTGTTGTATTTGTCCTTTGTCTAGACAACCTAGACTACCCTTTCCTGATAGCTCCATCAAAACTTCTCATCCCTTCCAACTTGTCCATGTGGATACTTGGGGACCATATAACACTCCTACCTACAATGGGTGCAAATATTTTTTGACTATAGTAGATGATTTCACTAGAGCTACTTGGACTCATCTTATAGGGTCTAAAAGTAATGCTTTCCCTCTTATTAAAGCCTTTGTTGCCATGGTCAAAACACAATTTCAAACTTGCATTCAAACTGTTAGAAGTGATAATGCTCTTGAACTTGGGTCAGGTGCTCTTGTTGGCCAATTCTTTGTTGACAATGGCATTGTTCACCAAACATCTTGTCCACACACACCACAACAAAATGGGGTAGTCGAAAGGAAACATAGGCATTTGTTGGATCTAGAGCTTTACTTTTCCAATCCAAGTTACCTATTAAGTTTTGGGGTGATTGTGTCCTCACTGCCACTTACCTCATAAATAGATTCCCTTCCAAGTTGCTTGCCAATAAAACTACTTTTGAATTACTCTTTGGGAAACCCCCTTCATATGCTCACATTAGAACTTTTGGTTGCTTGTGTTTCTCCACAATTCCTAAGTGTCACAAGGACACATTTCAACCTAGAGATGATCCTTGTGTTTTCCTGGGATATCACTTGGCTAAGAAAGGTTAAAAACTTTACAACCTAGCTACCAAACTAACCTTTATATCTAGAGATGTAGTGTTTCATGAGGGTATCTTTCCTTTTGCCTCACTCTCTCTTTCATTTGTTACTTATACATCACCTTCTCCTTCTGTTCCTTTGTTTTTTGATGACTTTCATTACACCTCTTCTCATGAGTCTGATCCTGTCTCATCCTCCACACATATTGCTTCTCCATCTTCTTCTCCTATTCCTTCTCCTGTGTTTGTTCCTCACTCTTCTCCTCTTCTTGAACCTCCTCCTGCTCCTCCTATTGCCCCTAATTTGTCTCCAGCTCCTGTTAGGAGATCCTCCAGAAATCATGTTACTCCTAGTCATCTTCAACAATATGTTTGCAGTCTTCCTCCTTCTCTATATAGCTCTAGTTCTTCTCCCTTTTGTTCTCAAAGTTTAGTTAGCATTTCTGGCCTAGAACCCCACTCTTACCATCAGGAAACCTCTATTCCAGCTTGGCAAGAGGCCATGAGAAAGGAATTTGAGGCTCTTGATGCTAATGATACTTGGTCCATTGTTTAGTTACCTCCTGGCAAGAAACCCATAGGTTGTAAGTGGGTATATAAGATAAAATATAAGGTTGATGGGTCTATAAAAAGATATAAGGCTAGGTTGGTTGTTAGGGGTGATACATAGGTGGAGGGTGTAGATTTTAATGAAACTTTTTCCCCAGCCATCAAATTTTCTACTGTTAAATGTCTCATTGTTGTGGCTGTAAAAAGGAATTGGTCTATGTTTCAACTTGATGTAAATAATGCATTTTTTCATGGAGACTTGGATGAGGAGGTCTATATGAAATTGCCCCTGGTTTGTCTGTTGAGAGTGCTGCTTCATCTGGTCAGTCTTCTAATTTGGTTTGTCATCTTCAAAAATCTTTGTATGGTTTGAGACAGGCATCTAGGCAGTGGTATGCCAAGTTGTCTCATGCTTTGTGTTATAGGGGTTACTTCCATTCTTTGAATGACTATTCCCTTTTCATCAGAAGATAAGGTGGCTCCACTGTACTTCTTGCCGTTTATGTGGATGATATAATACTTACTGGTGATGATTTGGAAGAAATCTCTGCTTTGAAACTTTTCTTGGACAATCAGTTCAAAATCAAGGATCTGGGTGTTCTTAACTACTTTCTTGGCATAGAAGTGGCATATCTTCCTTCTGGGCTATTACTACATCAAAGTAAGTTTATCAGAGATCTACTTCATGAATACAACTGTGATATGGTGTCTCCTGTGACTTGTCCTTTGGATTTGAACTCTAAATTGAAGGCTGCCATGGGTGACCTTCTGCCTTCTCCTGACACTTATAGAAGCTTGGTGGGAAAGTTGAATTTTTTTATTCACACGAGGCCTGACCTCTGCGTTGCTGTCCAACATCTCAGCCAGTTCCTACAGGCCCCTTGTACTTCCCACATGAAGGCTGCTTTGCATTTACTTCGCTATCTCAAAGGTACTTCTGATGTTGGGGTGTTCTATGGCAATTCTCCATCCCTTTCCTTATCTGCCTTCTGTGACAGTGACTGGGATGCTTGCCCAGATACTTGCAGATCAGTCATTGCATTCTTTTGGGGGATTCTATCATTGGTTGAAAGGCTAAGAAACAACCAGTTATCTCCGTTTCTTCTGCTGAGGCTGAGTACCGAGCTCGTAGTAAGGTAGTTGCGGAGTTGAATTGGGTTGTTCGCCTTTTATCTGATTTTGGTGTTGCTATATCTTCTGTTGTACCTGTGTTTGTGATAACCAAACGGCCATTCATATTGCGAAGAACCTTGTTTTTCATGAGTGGACGAAGCACATTGAATTGGACTGCCATTTTGTTCGGAATAAACTTGGTGATGGCTTAATCTCCTTGCATCATGTTCCTACCACTTCTCAGCTCGCCGACGTTTTTACAGAGCCTCTCACTGGAGTTCTTCATCATTCTTTGTTGCTCAAGTTGGGGATTTTAGCACCCTCCAACTTGAAGGGGGTGTTGTACTTCAGCTTACTACGACCCATGATACAGGCCCACCACCGGCTTAGCTAGAGTTTATTTATTTGTATTTTTTAGCTTCTGGTCCAAAGCCCAATATATTGTAAAAATAACAGAGATACATTGAACAGGCTGGTACATTCTAGAAGGGAACAGAAAAATATTTTTCTCTCTCTCCGGTTCTTCCTTCTCCCATGAACTTTAATCAATACTTCTTGATTTTTAGCTTTATTTAGTAGTTTTACACCTACATATATAGGAGAGATTAGTCCAGTCCCAGTCTATATGGTCTCTTGGCATCTTCGAATTTGCTTTGACGACGATTGTTCCCTGTTCGCGTATCTGGGAGAATGTTCCTGCTTCTATTCCACTTAGAAAAACAGTCAGTTAAAACGAAATGAAATCGTTCGTTACCTCAATTTGATCGGTCGATGAGTGGAGGGGATTGACCACATTCCCTTCTCTAGTTATGCTTTTAGTGGCCGCTACCAATTTGGCAAGGCCGTCCGCTTTGATATTTTGTGCTTGAGGGATTTGGTCGGGCTAGCATTCGTCGAACTCGGGTAACCACTTGCATATCTCGGCATGGTATTTTTGCAGTATTTGTTCCTTAATTTGGAAAATCCCTATGACTTGATTGCAACGAGCTGAGAGTCGCACCGTGTCTCATTTTGAGTTTTCTCAATGGAAATTCATAGTATCATTCATAATCAGTAACCAAAACTTATTGTACTGATTATAAGAAAGAAAATAAAGGAGCTAAAGTAGCTACATTTTATCAACAGGGTGTTTAATGTTTTAAAAGGCTAGAGCTACATCTTCTATATTCCTTCTGCAAATTGCAGATCGCGAAAAGGAATATTTCCCGTTAGATCGTATCAACAGCTACAACCTAAGATTAAGATTCAGATATTTTACTTTCATCGTCTATCGGTTCTTTCTGCATATACAAAAGGCACCAACGGGGCCGACTCGTAGCAAAACGGGGCCGACGGATGTTGCCATTTCTTAAACACCATCATCGGCTTCTCCAAATGCTCTTTCCTCACCTCACATCACTACATATATATGGGCCATGTATATAGAGAAAGAGAAAGTGGGTAAGAATTGATTTTTAGAGATCTAGAGAAAACTAAAAAAAATTTACCTAGAAAATTCCCGCAGATGGCGCCAAATTTTTTGACGAAAAAAGTACTAAACCTTTTTTAAACGAATTAATGAGAGATTAGAGGGTGAATCTTAGTTAAGGATAATTAGTTCTAGATCTGAGATGGATAATATGAATAGAAAAATATAGTTGAGTATAAATGTTGGAAGTAGTTATGGTCGGATCTAATAGTATGAAAAAGACCATACAGTAAATAACATTAAATGGCGATAAAACATAAATAAAGGAGAAGATTCACCCAATCTTGAATGAGGCAGATCCTTTTTCATTTGATAACGATGAATGATAGACAAATAAAAGAATCTTGGGACCCTTTTCGGATCTGATGGGGAGTGTGGGATAAGAGAGATGTGTTTTTATTTTTTTCTAGAGATAGAGAGTCTACCCCCTTTTTAGAGAAGTCCTCTCTTACTATTTATAAGAGATATCCCTAGAAAACTCTAAAAAGGTACAATTAGAGGAAATATTCAGTAGAATATTTCCTTTGAAGATTCCAAAGCAAAACTAGCTATTACATCTATCTATACTGCTCGACCTCGGCCTTGTTGATGATCATTGCTCGACCTCGGCCTTATTAATCAATGCTCGACCTCAGCCTTATTGATCACTGATCGACCTTGGTCTTATTGATAACTGCTCGACCTCGGTCAGATAGCCCAATTTGATTCGCATGTTACTCATGACAATTGTCTTCGCATGTCGAATTTCTCTAATTTGATTTTGACCCATACAAGTATCATTAATATAAAAAAAGGGTTGAATTTTCTGGTCATATCTTTGTTAGAGATGCAATATGGATTATAGAGGATACATGTAAATAAAGGAGAAGGGTTGATGAGAAATGGCGTAGTGATGGCAGATTACAAGGAATTTAGCTTCTTGTCACACATATGGTTGGTCAGAATAATTGAATTGGTATTTGGAACTTTGAAAAGCTACCAATGAATCGCTTGCTGTTTAAAGCATCTTTCTTTAGGTGACATTGTGTAATTTAAGGGGTACGCTATGCTAAATAAGCTGTTATCTATAACAAGTTTTTCTATGTGAAAATAGCACGGCTGGCCATTTTTCGGGCTGGTAATCAAAAAATAATCAGCGTTTGCAAAGTCATTAAAAAATAGACATTGTTTTGCTGAAACACGGAAAGTTCCAGTATAATATGTGGGATTATGGAGTTCCTGCGTATAAACTTTTAGCATATTATGTTGGAACTCCAGTACACGAAAAGTTCCAGCATAATATACGGGATTATGAAGCTCATGCATATAAACTTCCTGCATATTATGTTGGAACTTCAGCACATTATGTTAGAATCTCATATGTAAAAAATTCGAATTTCAGCATATTATGCTGGAATTTTTCCGAATTTTTAAGGATGTTTTTGTTCAGATTTTATCTTTACATAAAAAAGTAGCAAAATTCTGATTACTTTTGAAATCGTGACTATTTTTCAATTACCAGTTGTAAATCTGGCTATTTTTTATTGGGAAATTTTCGTTCCTATATCATATATAAAACTATATTACCAAATATGTTCATAGTTTGCATATTACTCGCCATGCTAATGATATTTCTACAAAATATAGACACTTCATTAAATAAGGAATCATTGTAGCTGTAGGCTTCCTTATTTAAGCGCGCTAAAATGGGGAATTAAATATTCTTCCAGATCTTCTACAACGCAAATCACGCACATTAATAATTGTTGTCGATTTCGTTTCAAATTGAGCTACTCTGTTTTTGCGATACACTCTGTTTCAACCTTTTTCTGATTTCACAAATCAAAAACAACTAATTCTTCTACAATTCTTCTGCAACAAATGCAATTATGTCCAAAATCTCAATTATGCTACAATTGAATGGGAATTGGGATAGCTATGGGAGATTTAGAGAATTTCAGGTCAATGGTATTGTAGTCGATGAGGATGCGAGTTATAGTCTATTGATTTCTACAATAGCACAACAATTAATGATCGATACATTTGAAAAAATTATAGAAATCAAATACATTGTCAACGAGCATTGTCCTCCAATGGAAATTGGGAACGATATGGGTGTTTGTGTATACATGGAGACGAAAAAGGAAAACAAAAACTTAGGATCATATCCGCTATGTATAATTGTTCGCGATTTCAATATGGAATTGAGTATCACCAATGAGAACACAGCTGCAGGTTTGTGCTATTAATTTTTCTATCAAATTCTGGTTGTATGTCAATATCCTACACTTTATCTACATTTTAACTACAAATAAACTACATGTCAGAGTAAATATATATATTAGTATGGGTTTTCATAATATCTACAAAATTTCTATATTTATTCTACAATAGAACTACATATCATTTGAAAAATTAACATGAAATATAGATTTACAATATTTCTACAAATTATCTACAAAATTTCTACAAACTGTTCGTAACAGTATTTAGCTTTATTTTCGTACAGGTTCGTCTGGAACATTAAAGCTACTTGATATGCCAACATCTCCCGTTATAGAGGAATATGAAAATATAATAATAACGGATAGTACACCAAGTTTTATTGAAGTAGGACAAGTATACCAAGACAAGCAAACAATTACAACTGCAGTAAAGCACTATTCTATCATGCACAAGTTCCAATTCAGGATTAAAAGATCTAGTGCTAGAAGGTATGGACATATGAATGGTCAAAGATCATTATTTTTTTTAATTTTGTAGTTCATTTGTAATTTTTTACTTCTTCAATTTTTTCTTGGGATAATGTTTATCAGATTTGTAGATTAATTGTAGTTATGTTGTATATAAATTGTATAATGTGATCGTTTAAGCTAAAACAATCTTTTTTCTTTTTTAAATCTACATTTTCAATCAGTGTTTAAATTGTATTTATTTTGTAGCTACTGGCTGATATGTGTTGGTGAAAACTGTACATGGCACTTCAAGGCAACTAGCATAAATGATTCTGTAATGTTCAAGGTCAGAAATTTCAACAGCCATCACACATGCTCTTTAATGGACAATACATTCATACAACGCAAACCTACTGCCATGGTAGTTGATAGCATGGTTATTCCAAAACATTCTGATCCTAAGACAATTTACACACCAAAAGACATACAATTTGACATGTTGTCTGAACACGGCATGAATCTAACCTACATGCAAGCTTGGAGAGCAAAGGAAAAGGCTTTACAGTTTTTGAGAGGTCATCCTGTTGACTCCTACAACAAATTGCCTAGTTATTTGTATACTCTGGAGAAGACTTATCCGGGATCTATAGTTAAATTGAAGAAGACGGACGATGACTGTTTCTTGTATGTATTTGTTGTGATGTGTACGTCAATCAGCGGTTGGAAATATTGTAGGCCAGTTGTAGTAGTTGATGAGACCTTCTTAAAGTCAGCATACATGGGAATAATGCTAACAGCTAGTACAATGGATGCAACAGGTATTGAAGTTTTATTGTAGAAATATTGCAGCTTGTATATTTTTTGTAGTACTTGCATATTTATTGTAGATATATTGTAGAAAAGTTGTAGTTTGTATGTATATGACTTTTTCTGCATTTTTTTCCTGTAGCCAATTAATTTTTTTTTGCCATATAATGTAGGTACCAAATTACCATTGGCATATGCTGTTGTTGATTCAGAAAATAACGCATCATGAAAGTGGTTTTTTTGAGCAATTCAAACATGCATATGGTGAAAGGCCAAATATGTGTGTTGTTTCGGATCGGAATGAGAGTATCTTGAAGGCAACATCTATTGTTTATTCTGGCATGCCATATTATTCTTGCATGTGGCATATTTGGACAAATTTACGGGCAAAGTTCAAGAAGGGACATCTAAAGTTAAGCGAATTATACTTTGTCGCGGCACGGTCATACACGCTTGATGAATTTAATGAAAGGATGTCAATGATTGAAGAGATTGACCCCCGTTTTAAAGCATACTTATACGATATTGGCTATCATAGATGGTCTCAAGTACATGCTATGGTGAACAGAACTTGGACAATGATATCAAACATTGCAGAGTCGTCGAATGCTGTAACAAAATATGCAAGAGAACTGCCGATAGTAGAACTATTAGATATGAGGACCCTTCTTGAACGTTGGATGAAGGAAAAGTTATTGAAAGCAAAGGGTACATTCACATACCTTGGGTTCAAATTCAACAAAGAGTTGGATGACAACAGAACATTGTCGCATAAGCTTAGAGTAAAATCTTATCATTTATTGCATCAAATTAATTTATACAGGACAATGTAGATAATTTGTAGATATTTTTGAGTTTAACCGTATATGAATTGTTTTTTGGTTTGTAATGTAATCGTAGGTAAGGACTTCAACAGACTACATCCATACAGTACTAGATGGTGTGAGTCACTATATTATTTGTCATGAAAACAAGAGATGTAGTTGTGGGCAATTCCAGCTTGATGAACTTCCTTGTCCACATGCTTTGGCTGCTTTAAGACACAGGGATGAGTCTTTGAACAATATTTTTCTCCTTATTACACAAGGGAGAACCTCTTGCGTACTAATGAAATACCAGTAAATCCCCTGCCAGATGAAAGCAAATGGAATGTGCCACAACATATATCTGAAGAAGTAGTAAATCCACCTACACGAGGGAAAAGGCAGCCAGGAAGACCTCAAAAAGAAAGATACAAAACATATGATGAAATAAATTCAAAGAAGTACAAGGTTTCATGTGGCAACTGCGAAGGAGAAGGGCATAACAAAAGATCTTGCAAGAATGTACCCAAAAAGAAATAAAATTTTATGTAGTTAATAGAATATTTCATAAAAATTGTTGGTGAGTTCAGGATAATAGATTTTGATTGTAATTGTTGAGGTTTTTTAATATCATAATATAGTTAGTTAGGATTTTTCTGTATTGAGATAATACTTTCATAGAGTGATTTGTTTATGAATGGTTTCTATATATATAAGCTACCACATTTTTACTATCTCTAGCATCCTTTACATAGTTGTTAATGTGTAACTACAAATTTTCTATAATACAACTACAAAAAAATTACAGTAACTGGAATTGACAAAATAACTACATTATAAATCATTAGGAAAGGAGTTATATACTAAAATATTGTAGATCAAGTACTGTATACATTCAACAAATGAATATAAAAGCAACAAAACACATTGTTAAATTTTTTCTACAAATTCAACTACAAAAAAAAACTACAATAGCTGGAGCTGACATAATAGCTAGATTATAATTCAGCTAGAAAGAAGTTATATGCTAAAAATAATGTAGATCAGGTACTGTTTACATTCAACAAATTGAATGCAAAAGCAACAAAATGTTTAGTTACTGATTTTTTCACTTTATCTACAGAAAAACAACAAAATAACTACATATTTTTTCATTGACAGAATAACTGTATAAAAATTCAGTTGGAAAAGATTTATATGCTAAAATAATGAAGATCAAGAATTGTAAACATTCAACAAGTGAATATAAAACCAACAGAATGTTTCCATTTGAACTACTATACTGGATAAGAAAAATAAAATAAAGGCTACTATAATTGTAGCACAAGTCTGCTACAATTAAAACACAACAATACTGTTCAAAAACTTGTCTACCATCTTTCTTCTAAACTAACATCAACTAAACAATTGTACCACATGTTCCATACAAAATATTACAACTGCTTTTTCTTCCTCTGCACTTGTGTTTTCACATTCAAAGCTGGTGCAATTTTTCTCCTTGCCAATTTGCATGTCACCTCACTTTCACTAATTGCCCCATGCACATGCTTCTTTCTAGCATAGCCCTAAAGTAGCGCTCCATAGCGTCTACGGTGTTGGTCAATATCAGAAAGGTCTTCTGCCGGAATTGATAACTCTCCAAGACTAACATACTCTGTAAAGGCAGCAACAAATACACCACAATTGCTGCAAAGATAAAAAAATATCAATATTTACCAAACCATTAGAAAAAAAGGGTTAAATATATAGAAAGAAAGAAGATTTTTGTTACAGTGATCCTTCTTTTTACTGTGGTATCTCTCCGATGATCCACTGAATGTTTAGAGGGTCGGTAACAACTTTCTCAATGTATGCCTTTGTATTCTTGAAGTTGATGTCTTTACGCTTCCCATAAAAATCGGTGCATGACAAATACAAATGGATAATAACAGAAAGCTTGTCGACACAAGATTCAATAATTGGGTGATTGCGTGAAGAGACCATGGAATCATACGCATAAAGTTGCCTCTCTGCAATGTCAAAAACAACCAACACTTAGTGGAATTTTCTACAATGTTAACGAGCATGATGACATAATCAACTTCATCCCATGAAACATTTACGAGTAGTCTATACCCCAATATATTCTTCTATAACGTCCTAGGGTTTGACAACAAAAAACTTATTTTCTTGAGGAGAATTTTGGAACTTTTCATAAATCTGATCAATCCTAGTCTTGAATACACAATATGTTGTAGTAAACCTGATCTTATTGTGGGGGCCATATTTGCCTTTTTTCCTCAAGTAATACATTATAAAATTAATGTGCTGCAACAAAAACAGATTGCATTTATAATACAAGTTATCTTCAAATAATCTATAATTCATCTACAAAATAACTACAATTCATCTACAATTAGAATACAAATCATCTACAATCAGGGTACAAATTATCTACAAAATAACTACAAATGGAATACATTGAATCTTACCGAGTCCTTGAGGACTTGTCCGGGATGTGCCAGGGAAAAGAACCACTCCTTCTTATCAATCTTTTCCACTCCAAGATCTAACCATGACTTAATTTGGTTGTCCTTTATAGAATACGGAGCCTTCCTCCTATATAAACAAATAGAAATTAAAATAAAATTATTGCATGAAGGGATGTGTAAAAGATGAATACTGGAATAAAAGTGTCAAATTGTGCAACTAACCTCTTTGAACCTATATCGATACCGTGGTATAACCATTTGTGGAATTGATCCAACAAGTCAGGATCTACATTTTAACCAATAACACTAGTAAATGGGTGCTTGAGGTGAAAAATTTGAGGTCCAACAGAGGTGTTGCCACCAGAACAGTATAAAGGAAGAAATGGTGATCGAGCATGCTTTCCCGACTGCCTTATTCTACCTTGATGCACGGGTGTTGTTTTATCTTGTATAGGCTCGCCGAACTTAAGCAACTGGGAGAAGTTATCAGGCAGCTCGAAATCATCATGTGTAACCTCCTTCTTTTCACCTCCGGAGTCTTCTGAATCACCTACATTCACACACTCTACCTCTTCACCTACATTGTCATCTTCCTCATTCTGCTGTTCTCTTTGAGCTGCTACTGTTACTCCATGAATTGGAGATTGTGCATGCATATCTTCCCTCTCTGTAACACAATGTATATCTAGCTTAATAGAATGATAAAAATATTGAAACATAAAGCAAATATCTCTTATTGCAATTTCATACCTGCATTCTCTTCATCAACTACCCCTTCAAAATATGTATATAAATCAACACCTGCTGGATGATTTTCTTCACCAAGTGCACCTTCAACATGTTTTGTTTTTTTCATCAAAAATGTTAAATCATACTGGATAGTAGTGGCTTGACAGTTTAAGAAGATATGTAGGTGTGTTATAAGATCCACATAAATCTATCGAGTTGTGCAAATATGCAGTATTTATTTGTATATATAATGTAGACAAATTATAATTATGTTGTAGATAACTTGTAGATATTTTGTAGATAATTGTAGATAAAATGGAGTTATTTTGCAGATACATGTTTTGTTGGTGCTGGCCTGCACTAGTTCTCCACTAGTGAACTGCAATTGTTGATTGTTCTTGTCTTTTGGTTGGTCAGTATTTTTGGTTGAACTCCCAACAAACTGAAAGTTTTATATTAGTTAGGATATATATTTTAGAGGTGACATAAATAGTTTTATTAATATGAATAAAAATCAAATGTTACCTTTGCATCAACTTGATTATTTGGACTATTTATCGCTTGCAAAACAATCTTGACAGACTCATTTATTAGCACCCGAAGGCTATCTAGTTCTTCAAAGATATCTTTCCTAAAATCTTCAAGCTTTTCATCGACCTACATATTAAAAAAATACATAGTTAACTTCAAAATATGTCTTAACATACATTAAAGAACAATGCACTATTATGTATACATCACAATGCTATTTAGGAATACATGTTATGTTCTCAAGACCTCTTTTTAACTTTCTTATTTAAGAAGAATAGACTCCTTGTCCTCTTTTACAGTTGATTCTTTGGGTTCCAATGGAGGAGCATCAACTTTGGGATCCTCAGAAACATGTTCAACCTCTTTAGTTATGTACTCAACTTTATCAGGCAAAAACATCACTGAAAGCTCTTCAGGTGATTTATTTATGTTGGTGAACTGAATGAGGAAAATAAATAAATTAGCTTGATTAAGGCAGAATATGTATATAAATTGTAGATATTTTGTAGGTAAATTGTATAATCATAAATAAAAACCATTTACCTTCATCCATTCGGGCTTGATCATTCTGTCTTCAATTGTAGCTAACCAAATCTGACCCTTACTAGCTGACCAGTTAAGTATGCGAGAGATTGAATTGGAAATCCTTGTAGCTATATCAGTGTTGACGGGGGAGCAACACTCATACAACCATACTTGCATGGCTAGTGGGAATCCTCAAATGAGATAAGAATGAACGAAAGGATTTAGCCTGTGCCTAACTGATTCAATCAATTGTCTGTAAGACTGAATACCCCATGGAAATGTCTCGTACTGACCGGATTCCACCAAATAAAACCTAAAATGATCTACCAACCCAATATGGTCTCTCTCTGAAGGACAAATGAAGAATTATATGAGATATAAAATATATAACTTTACTGCATCCTCATCATTTACCCAGCTTTTGTTGGTTACAATCTGTTTTAGGTATGCCTTCTCCATTTTTACCTTGTTTGGAAATTAACTGCTCATTATCTTACTGACATAATTCGGAGTGTAACCAAAGTCTGTCACCTCGGTATGACATCTAAGACCAGTTATTAATGCAAACTCTCTCAATCCAAAATTTACCCTCTCACCTTTTAACTCAGCTGAAAAATAGGAAGCATCAGATGAATTCAATTCATACTTCATAAGAAGATGAATAGCTTGATTTTGCATGCATAAATTGGGAAATGACAGTAAATAACCAAAGCATGTCTTGAAGAATAGCTTCAAACTATTTGGAGATAAAAACTCTTTAATTTGGCTAGGAATGCTAGGGTCACATAATGTTTGGAATCTAAGCACCTCATAATCAACATTATGGGATGCAAAAAAATGTCCATTCTGCACAGTCAATAAATATAATCTTACATTAATACAGTGCTTAAAAACATAGATATATTTGCAATCTATCTACAAAATAACTTCAAAAAATATACAAAATATCAACAATTTTAAACAGATCAGCAAAGCTACAATTAATATTCAAAATGAAGACAAATAATCTCGCATTAATTTAGTGCTTAAAAAATATAGATACATTTGCATTTTATATACAAAA